AGCAGTCATTGCCCCATTTGGCAGAATAAATTAGACAAACGAGATTGTGAACTTGCAGGGTAGCTCCATCATGGGCCATACTGGAAAGTAACAAGTAAACAAAAGACCTTTGTCACGCCTTTTCGTCCTCTTCTTCTTCTTCTTCTACTATTTCTTCTTCTTCTCCTTTTCTTCTTCTGCTTCTGTTTCGTCATTTTCATGACTATCTATCATTGTCTGGCATTAAACTCCGGTGGAATGTTGCGGTTGTTAGTTTACTTTTGTACTTTGGACGTGTTCCAGAACTTGAGTTTTGCCTGCCATTTAGACAGATGAGCAACGACCTGTTGAAAGCATGGTCACACCATATCATTCGCCTTTTTGACGACAAGCTTGTAAAGAAGTTAGTCAATTCTTTCTTTTAAACTCTAATGGATGGGACCGGGGGGGGGGGCACAGAGGGAATAGGACATATGCCACTTTACTCAGATTTGTACACCCAAAGGCGTGGAAATGGGTTCTTTACTTACTTTCTAGTTGTTGTACCGCCTGTACTAGTCATCTAGATTAGCTCCAATCCACGAGAGACACTTGGCGGTGGCGGAGGTTGCCGAAAGTTCGCAATTCGACGGTGGCGTTATAGTCCCCAGAAGTCTGCATTTGACACGTGACTGAGGCCCTGTTAGGGTATATTTTCCGCCCTGATAATTGAGGACCTTTATTCGGGTGACAGGCGACATGAGACACTGGATGATGTGAACATGGAAAGCTTTTGATCTCTCACGGGTTTTTTAATTTGTTTGTTTGCTTGGCGGGTCTCCGTAACGAAGTGGTCAAGCCGTTTCCCATGCGCTCTGAAGGTTATGGGTTCGTTTTACAGATGCGTCGTTGAATTCACGAGTGCAGCGTTGTGGGGATACATGAAGATCTCCGCTAGAGCTACGAAGTTCGTGCGGTGTGCGACACTAGGGCAGAATGTTAGCCATTCTATGGAGAGAGACAGAGCATATGGAGTTACACCCGGTGCAGTGAAGTCGATCGTCTCGAATTTAGCTGTAAATTGTTTGTTTCCTTTCATTGGCTATGAACTTTGCCGGACAGTTGTTTGTTCGTCCACTTCTGGATTGTCGTCTTACTCTAGAACTTGAGTTTTGTATGCTAATCCGTTATACGCATCAGGCTTTTTTTTATGTATGCAGACTGACGCTTTCTCAAATCTCAGACAGATTCACGCTGAAAGAAATCACATAATTTAGTCGTCTTTTACGACACGCTTGTTATGGGGTAGTGGGTTCTATTCTCATTCCCCCTCCCATTAAAATGGGGTTCCGGAAGCATCCTGCTTCCAAGAATTGAACCCAATACCTAAATCATTCATGTCCCGCTTGCATCCCTTTTATGTCACAGTAGAGGTCATCCTTGACATCTTCTATCCATGTATAATTCACCATATAGCATATCCTTGTGGACTCTAGCCTGCCCTCAACTGTGTCCTAGCTATCTGAGACTTCAAAGACCGAGCATGAACAACACTGTTAACATCGGCTCTATAAAACATTCAGTGTCTGAACTCATCTGGCTACCCGATGCCGAGTATTCTTCTTAGACACTGCACGAGCAAGCCATTAGTCGTTTCTACTGGTAACAAACAAGTCAACCAGGATTTATCCGACCAATTACCCATCTGTATGTTTATTACTTGCCTCTAAACCTGACAGGAAACAAGATATGTCCATTATCCCATCGGCAGTAAAGACACAACCAGATCTTGTCTACTACTGTTCAACATCTGGATTCCTGCTGACAGTCGCAGTGTGGTGGGAAGTGTGAATGCACACGCAGAACTGAGAAACTGGGCGTGCAACATGAGCGTTCGGACTATCTGAGAATACACCTATGTGAATTGCGTCTTAATTCATAAGCATACATCCTGCTGAGCCAGACCAAGCAGTGACCAAACCAGTGTTCTGCAGATCCCAGATAAAACTGCATTATACCCACTGTGGTGAAGATGTGTGTAGCAAAAAATCACCGGCAAGTTAAAAAGAAAAAAGTAATTTGACATGTTCTCCATCGTGCCCTGCTACTTCCATCAAAGACAAACTGCAAATCTGGTGGTGACTGTTGGCTTTGGCACCTCTAGCAAGCAACTGCCATACACATTGACTGCGTGCTATATTTCTGTATTGTGTTTGGACTATTATTTATTCACCAGTTTTTCAAATGGGACAATTCCACAAACCACTTGCAGGACCAGAGCGGAAGAGAATGTCTACAAGAAGGACACACTGCAGCAAATCTTCAAGTACATCTACAATACGGGCTAGACAATAGCAGATTACATAACGCAAGTTGTCAGCTACAAGATAGTGCAGTCACTAGCAGGCTTGCCTATCAGCTCTGTTGCCAGCAGTTCTAATCCCTAGTGACAGCCACTGTTCTGTGCTAACCTATCGAATCTTGTGACAATAAAATGGAAGCAATGACCTGTGGTCTCAGACTAGGCTCATCAACCAACCAATGCCGACTAGTTGATACAAACTCAACCCCGTGTTGGGTTCCGGGGCCCTATTGTGGGGAAAACAAGAATAGACCCACTGCCTCCCTAAAAAAGCATGTCGTAAGAGTCGACTAATTGGGGAGCTTCCTTTGAAGTCGGAGTGCATCTGCCCGAGAGGCAAGGAACCAACAGTCTGCATACAGGTGAATCAGATCTGTAAAACTGATGCACACGCAACACTCAGGTTCTGGAGCAGGACTGCAGTTCCGAAGTGGACAAACAACCAGAACTTTCCGCCAGAGTGTACAGCTGGTGAACGTCAAGAAGATACACACTCACTGCTAGCATCATATGCCTATACTCAAAAAGCCTCAGCAAATAGGTAACTTCAAAACCAGTTTAGAAAAACCTTTCAAAACATTATGTTCGGGGAGAAAACAAACTTTATTTGTACACAAGATACTAGATATTCTGAAATATCAAGCAGAAGAAGAAACAATATCTTAAGTTGGTACAAAGCAAGATTCTACACAAAACATACAAGAGAACATCAATGAGGTTGTTGAGCCAAAGGGCAGGCAGTGACTACACTACTGTTATAGCAGACCCTGCCAAAAGCCCACCATGTCCAGCCTCTAGCATGTTCATGCATGCCCTACTGGGCTGTTGAGCTGAATGTTCAGCTGCTGCCTCCCTCACCGCCTCAACAATAAATTCAAAAAAAGCACAGACAAGGTACCATAAGAGAAAATAAAACGATCACAGCATATGATGGAAACTTGGAACAGACATGAACTAACTACACATACAATTTGTTATTAAGAACAAGTTGTGGGGAGAATCAATGTTGAAACTGTTAACTATGATAGGATCAGTCAGTTATGAATGAAAAGAAAATGGTGAAAAAATGTCAGAACTCCTTAAGACAATACAGTCAAAGAAGACGAACCGGAGGATGTTACACAGTATAATGTTGGGCTAATGTCACCTCACTTTCTGCAAAAGGATTGCAAACAAATTGAAAGGAAATGTAAGAATATTACATAACTCATTTGTTAGAAATGGAAACAATCTAAGTCCTACAAGGATACATTTCACAATTGGAAACCTGCAACAGCAGTGGCATCATTCTCCTGCCTTAGCAGTACAGTTGGTGTGAAGACAAGTACAGTTGGTGTGAAGACAAGTACAGTTGGTGTGAAGACAAGTACAGTTGGTGTGAAGACAAGTACAGTTGGTGTGAAGACAAGTACAGTTGGTGTGAAGACAAGTACAGTTGGTGTGAAGACAAGTACAGTTGGTGTGAAGACAAGTACAGTTGGTGTGAAGACAAGTACAGTTGGTGTGAAGACAAGTACAGTTGGTGTGAAGACATGTACAGTTGGTGTGAAGACATGTACAGTTGGTGTGAAGACATGTACAGTTGGTGTGAAGACAAGTACAGTTGGTGTGAAGACAAGTACAGTTGGTGTGAAGACAAGTACAGTTGGTGTGAAGACAAGTACAGATGGTGTGAAGACAAGTACAGATGGTGTGAAGACAAGTACAGTTGGTGTGAAGACAAGTACAGTTTGGTGTGAAGACAAGTACAGTTGGTGTGAAGACAAGTACAGTTGGTGTGAAGACAAGTACAGTGGTGTGAAGACAAGTACAGTTGGTGTGAAGACAAGTACAGATGGTGTGAAGACAAGTACAGTTGGTGTGAAGACAAGTACAGTTGGTGTGAAGACAAGTACAGTTGGTGTGAAGACAAGTACAGTTGGTGTGAAGACAAGTACAGTTGGTGTGAAGACAAGTACAGTTGGTGTGAAGACAAGTACAGTTGGTGTGAAGACAAGTACAGTTGGTGTGAAGATAGTACAGGCAGAGCAACCAACAAACTTTGCTGCTAAAGAGTTACAGAGATAAGCCCGTCTTACATTCTTTCAAGAACTCATATTTCACATGGCAATTACAGTATATCATGTCCATACATCAAAATTCATAGTATGAATGTCAAGTAAAAACATAGCACAAATGGCACATGGCAGGGGGCGGAGGAAAGGAGTGAAGATGTGATCTAGTCCCTTTAGCTCCCCAAACATGGTCTTCACAGCTGAAACACCTTACATTTGACACCCACATGGCTGTATCTGATGCTAGACTGCTTCTGTCTCTCACTCACATGCGTACACACACCCACATAGCAACATCTGATATCAGATTACACTTCCTCTTTCATGTGCATGCATGCACATAACTGCATGGAAGTATCTGCTGTTAGCTTTGCTTTCTCCCTCAGGTGTACACACACACCCATGGAAGTATTTATGTCAATGTCAGACGGCTGTACTTTCTATTTTTTTTTTCTCTCTGATGTACAGTACTCTGCCACCATGTAGGGAGGAATCTAATGATGATGATTCATAAAACTGCTAATGTCATAGTTGTGTGACACCTGCCTCAGACAGGAGCAGACATGACCAGGTGTCTGCTGATTTCTCACACATAATAGAATTGTGAATGACTACTTCAATCCAAGTCAGTCACTTGCTGTGGCTATGAGACCAGTTGGACTGAAACAACTACAATGGTACAGAGCTCAAGCTCATGTTGCACAGACCAGATGTCAAACATTCAGTTGCATTATTTCACATTGGAAAGTGCACTAACACTGTGCATCTGTCACTTGTTCAGCGTTGTAAAGTCCAGTGCCACCTCCAAACCAGTCTGCTGATTGTCTGGACTTAGAGATACATTGGAAGTGGTGCAGTTAAACAAACTTCACTGCCTCAGTGGATACAGCCTCACCACTCACACACATTCCCTTGGATGAAACTAAAAATCATCAGTGGTTGTATACCAACAGACAAAAACACCTGTTTACCTAGTTCACAAGCTGAGAAACATTATTGTGTGTATCAAATTCAATTCGTTTCAAGTAGTCTTATCACCAGAACGACATTTGTTAGGTTTGAGTATATTGTAAGACTCCCAAGTAGTACTAGACCACCATGTATCAGTTCTGCACTGATGGAAGCCCCCTTGGATGGTGGGGGATGCCGCCATCCTGCCCCGCATAGGATTACAACTGTTGCCGTGGATGGATCCAGTGGGTGATGCCACTTTCCTGCCCCGCATAGGATCACAGCTGTTGCCCTAGATGGATCCAGTGGGGGCCCCAACTGTGGGCCAGATGGCTAGGACAACAATGACCATGTGCAATGTCCTAAGAAACCAACCAGGAATAAGTGTTTATAACATCTGATCACCACATAGCCCATGAGTCACATCACAAAATATACAAAGTGGACATGTGGAACACTGTATAATAAACACATGCTTCAGCAATGTCTAATTAGTAGGTTTACAATTCTGTTATCATATGGGGGGAAAATATACATCGTATGAGAGTTAAAGAAACCATTCAGACTCCATGATTTCACAAAAGAAAGAAAAACAATTATTCATATGAAATCACTATGTACAGAAGGCAGTTAACAAAATACCAACTGGCAAGTCATTCAGCTTCGTGAACAACCAGGAAGAGGTTGGCCAAAACTGATGTCCCTTGAAGATTTACACAGAGCAACATGCAAGACTCAGCAAGCTCAACAGGCAACTGGACCTGTTATTTCTGTCTCATTTTTCTGCAATAATAAAACAAAATAATAAATTTAAAAAAAATTATATTTATAAAAGAATTGGCTACTAACAGATAAAATGTGAATTGGTTTTTAAACCAATTTTGTCTGGATTGAGGACTGTTCAAATTTAGTTTTATATATATAATAATAACAATGACATTTGTCTAACTGATGTAGAGTCGCTCAATCAAGTCAACTGGTGATAACTGGACTTCTTCAACAGACCAGCAAAATGACCATTCCAAGCGTGTGCCAGGTGTGCAAGTATGTCTTTTGATCATCTGCCATCATCATGGGCTGTTGCTGATTCTGTTGTTCTACTTCAAACTAGCCTTTGACAAGCATCACAACAGAGGTCCTGCCTAACCCAGCCTCTCTTAAGTTAGTGTCTATTTCAAGGATGTCTCAACAGATTTCCACTCCAGTAATCTCTGCCTCCTCAGATCAAGCCATAAAGTAGTGGTCCCCCACCCCATATGCAAAACATTTTGAGAACATCAGGAACTGCAATATATATGCATACACTGATTGGGACAATTCCTGGTTTAGTGCACACTGATTCTACAGAAGCAATGACATTCGATAAAACAATGCTGAGTGAGAAAACTAAATGAAGCGACATAGTGTTCAGTAACATACTAAAGCATGCAGTTAGACATGACAAATATAAGCACACAATAATGAAGAAAGCAACATGGAAGTCCGTCATGAATGCATAGTTGACTATACTACCACTTCTGCCCTTGATCTCCCACTTCAACACAGGGCCCGATCCTTTGTTACTGCATGCAGCTCACCCCATCTCCTCCCTAGTTTTTTTTTTTTTTTAAATTCTAGCTCCCCCTCTGTGGTTTTGGTCTGTCTATTTCTAGTTGCTGGTGGATTCCAGTGCAAAGACATTCTAGTTACACTGTTGTCAGGTTTTCTCAAATTGTGTCCTATCCAACGTCAGTACGTTTAGTTCTCTCCCAAAGCTCATCATTAGTGATTCTATCGTACCATTTGATCTCCTCTGTTCTGCACAGTATCATTTGATCTCCTCTGTTCTGCACAGTACCATTTGATCTCCTCTGTTCTGCACAGTACCATTTAATAGATAGATAAAGAGAAAGAGGGGGAAGACAGGAAGTAGGGGAGAGGGAACAGGAACCTCCAACACAATTATTTGAGTCTAAACCCAGTTATCTTAACACACTATACAGTACACCAGAAATGACAGACAGAGACAGTGAGAAAGAGAGAGAGAGAGAGAGAGAGAGAGAGAGAGAGAGAGAGAGAGAGAGAGAGAGAGAGAGAGAGAGAGAGAGAGAGGGTGGGGGGAGGGAGGGAGAGAGAGAGGGGAGGGAGGGGGGTAAGAGAGAGAGGGGGGAGGGAGAGAGAGAGAGGGAGAGACAGAAACATTCCATACATGTGAGAAACAGTTTTAATCAACAGAAGCAGCCACAGTAGTACCCATATAAATGCATTCTCTTGCTAGTCTTTAATCTGGCAGTGAGTGAGTTACCCATACAGTAGTGGAATCACAATAGTGCAGTTTTTACGGTGGCTAGAGAACAAGATGCACACACATGTCATAACTGTTAAAGATTCTAAAAGCATGGTGAGAAAGGTGAAGACAGGGATGCTTCTAGCAGAGTGGCAAGCTTCACTGGGAAGGTCATGGGTAATTAGCACACTTTAAATTTTTGTAAAGGCCATGCCGGCTTGGTGGGAACGAACAGGCACAGAGATTGGTTGGATCTGCACCATTGAATGAACTGATACATGACAAGGCAGATGTGGTCAGGGCCCTTAGGGAACAAACAACGGAGTCAGAAGCCAGACAAGATTATCATAGACTAGAGAGATTGAGGCAGCTGGGTGTAACCAGAGGGTCTGGCTGGCTCACTACACTCAGAGGAAAGGCAAGATGGACACATAATCAGACTGTGACCGGTACCATCAGTATTGGAACTCTGCGCTGGCTGCTGAAGATTCCCGCATGGGAATGTCCAGAGTGCTGCGATGTCAATTCTTGGCTCAACTCAACTAGTGGAATTAACTGTCTACCAACTACTAACATGATATCCACCTACGTTTTGTTCAGCATCCAACTTGTCATCACTTCCACTGGCATCCATCCGAGATGAAGTCTTGACATCAGTAGAAGTTTCCCTGGAACTGTCGCCTTGTTTGATTTTCTTGGACTCCTGACCATTAGACACTGGTGGCTCATCGTTGTCCGGCTTCCTCTGTAGATGAGATGTATCAGAAGACACCTAATTAGAAGTGTTACTACAGGAGTCCCCAAGATATCTGTGACAGCATTCTGACGCATAGGGAAACAAGCAGTGATTGAAACTGATGAGACATGTTCAAATCCTGCCAATCATCAGTTTTCACCATTCCTGTCTAGTGTGACTTATAATGGCTGCTTTGCTTGCCCACTCAACAGGTAACTGTGACCTTTGACTATAGGAAGTCTTAGATCAGGTGCTCCTTAACAAATGCTTAATGAGTAGAATTTGAAAGCAGCTGTCATAAGAATGACAAGGCCTGCGGTGTCATGTCTATACGTTGTTAGAACCCTTGCACAGAAATGGACCTTTTAAGGCACAGAAGTTAGACCTGTACCCATACTTGATGATGGAATTATGTTGAACACTCTCTCTCTCTCGTGCGTGCGTGCTTGTGTGTGTCTTCCTCCACTTGTTTATGTTTACTTTTCACATTTTTATTTTCATTCCACTTTCTTTAGACTGGGCAGCACTCCAGTTTTCAATTTCTGCTTGTTTTGTCTTCCAGCCTTCAACTGTACTCTGTCCATTTGATAAAATAACCAAGAACAGTAGCAAACGTACTCTACTACTGAAATCTATACACAACTGATGAAGTTTGAGGTTTGAACAGCGGATCAACATCACGGCACACTGGTAGTAACCTATAAGTCCAAAGAAGCTCAGCACAGTGCACAGGCTCTGTAGCACCAGCGAGGATCCTGAAATACTTTGGGTAGATTTTTAACTCAAAACTTTGCACGGAAAGCGCCGTTAGGCTACTATTTTCGATTTCCAACTGCCAAAGAATTTTTTAAACGTTTTTTTTAACCAGGGGGAATTACTAGAAGTCCAAGTCCACGTGAAAAAGCCCTTACCGGGGCTTGAACCCGGAACCTCTAGCCCTTGAGGCGGACACTGTGCCTCGAGACCACACAGCCCCATTATATAACAGATGAAGTAAAGAGTTAGTGGGAGTTTCCCACATTTTGATGTCTATCTCAGTTTGTTTTATGCATACATGATACATGTTTGCAACAACTGAGGAAGGAAAATTTTTACTTATTACAGATTTGTTTAAACTAGGCCGGATAATATAGAGTCTGGATAAATCATGAGCCAGATAATCAAGGTTCCTACTGTTGGTATTTTCTATAGGAAATGACAAATTATCAGTGAAATGCAATCTCATAAACAATGGGTCTGAAGACAGTGGTTGGAGTCTGAGGCGTTCGGAGCTGTCAAATCAGTTTCAAATTTGTGCCAGGGCACACAGGCATATGAGGAACTGAGCAAGAGCTGGCAGACTTCAGGTAAAGCTACAGTGGAGGGCAGACATGTCATGCACCAGACTGATGTACTAAATGCTCTACGAGAAATAAGACATTTGTGAGAACCAAGGGATAACTTCGAATCTGCAAACCAGACTGCAAGAACATGTTAAAAGGAGTGTGGCCAGACAAAATAACTATGCAGGAAGATAAATAATTATTATTAAAAAAAACACAGAACTGGAGTGAGCCCTATACGGTGCAGGGTTTATTGAGAAGGGCATTTATTGAGAATGGACAAATCCAAAACATCTTATAAAGACAGAATAAAGTTTGAAGATGCATGTGTCTAGGTATCAATGTGAGAAATCTGTCAACTAACTCATCTCATGAAACAAGCTGACTAAAGAAGACATCTATAAGGCTCCAGATAAAGCTAAACATGGCAGGCAAGACATAGTTGATGACAGACTTTAAGTAACAAGATGCATCGGGTCCATGCTGTAGCATGCAGTAGCTGACAGTAATTGCGTTTTTATATACAAATATAGGAAAGGGTGGCAACAGTGAATTTACTATTGTCTAGGTCTCTTAAGGGTGGGTTAAAATCTTAAAGGGATGGTTAGCACATTGTATTGTGGTTTACAGCAAGGCTGCAATATCAGTTAACTCCTAATCAGTTGTTTTTACTCACAATATCATCAGAAGGCAGTGGCTCTATTCTTTTACCTTAAAATGGTCTCAAGGAACCCATTGGGGGAAGTAAAACATACAAGACCCAGGAACCCATAGTTGAGCAGCAAATATACAAGACCCAGGAACCCACATAGGGACAGCAAATATACAAGACCCAGGAACCCACATAGGGACAGCAAATATACAAGACCTAAGAACCCACATAGGGACAGCAAATATACAAGACCCAGGAACCCATAGTGGGGACAGCAAATATACAAGACCCAGGAACCCAACATGGGGACAGCATATATACAAGATCCAGGAACCCACATAGGGACAGCAAATATACAAGACCCAGGAACCCACACACAGGGACAGCAAATATACAAGACCCAGGAACCCACATAGGGACAGCAAATATACAAGACCCACGAACCCAAATGAGGACAGCAAATATACAAGACCCAGGAACCCAACATGAGGACAGCAAATATACAAGACCCACGAACCCAAATGAGGACAGCAAATATACAAGACCCAGGAACCCAACATGAGGACAGCAAATATACAAGACCCAGGAACCCAACAGAGGACAGCAAATATACAAGACCTAGGAACCCACATAGGGACAGCAAATATACAAGACCCAGGAATCCAACATGAGGACAGCAAATATACAAGACCCAGGAACCCACACACAGGGACAGAAAATATACAAGACCCAGGAACCCACACACAGGGACAGAAAATATACAAGACCCAGGAACCCACACACAGGGACAGAAAATATACAGGACCCAGGAACCCACACACAGGGACAGCAAATATACAAGACCTTGCAACATTATTATAATACTACACACTAAGTGAAAATGCTGATGGCAATGATAGAACTTGAGCGTATGCTGGCAATGATAGAACCTGAGCGTGTGCTGGCAAGTCAGAGAAAGTAAAGGCAGAATACAAGCTGATAAAGGTAACAAACTCACCTTTTTCCTGACCAGATGAGCAATGTCAGTGGCTTTTCTCTGGCGGAAGAGAAAGAAAACAGAACTGTCAGCTATCTAGGGGACAGATAATCTGCTACAGCAAATAGGAACACATTTAACAAACTATGACAGTGACATGTTTTCTTCCTGACAGACTGTCTCCTTGCTTTTTATATATTTGTACAGGTGTAAATAGACCACATATTGTGACTGGAAAGCAGAAGCACTCAAGTGCCTGGGTTGGGGTTTATCCTGTCCAAGATCTCTAACTCCACAAAGGTCATCCTGGGAAGACTAGTATGAAGCTGCAACCTCTCAGATAAACTCCAGTACATCTCAGAGAGAAACTACTACGAGGACTGCTAGACACAGCTCTCCCCTTAACATTCATCACAATGATCCTCTGGCATGTCAATAAGAGTAGACTGTCATGGGGGCCACACAATCACTTGAATCAGGGATCAGGTCAGTGTTCTTTTCTGGTCTCAGCCATTTGACTGAACCATCTAGATCTGTTTGTTATGTTCTCTAGTGCATATGTGGATGCTATATGTGTATGAGCTTATGACAGTCCTCATAAATATCTAGGGAGAAAAAAGTCTACAATAAATTTTTCAGTTTACGACTGATCATCTTGAGGACCATCTGTTTTTCTATCCATCCATGATATTCACTGCACTTTTTTCAAAACCACATCTCTGCTCTGAGTAAATGTTTTTAAGCTTAACATTCAAATTATATTTTCTATGAATAAAACTTTCCCCAATTGTAAAAATGAGGGCTGCCTTATACATGGGAAGGTATTTAAACAAATATTTCTTAATTTTGGGCCTAAAAAGAAATAGGAGTCGTTATGGCGATGCCATAAACAGAAAAATACAGTACATACTGAAGATAAAACAAGTTCCTGAATTTAAACAAATGTAATAGAAGATTGTTATAACTGTTGATGTGGACTAACTGAAACCACCCACACACACACACTACAGAGGTTCAACAGACGGGAAGGATATGTGACGATCAAAGGACAGGATGACTTGGTGTGAATCTCAGACCTCGCCACTAACCAGGGTCGTCGTCTCCACATTTATCCAAAGATGTAATTGTGTTGTGCCCATTTACTGCATGGCTGCGAAATTTGTGCCCAACTTCTGCAGGCATTTGTTGACCGGGTTAACTTTCCCAGTAGCCAGGATCTATAGGGAAGATCACAATGTCTGAGCCGGGATGTGCCAGGTGAGTAAACAGAAAGGTTAAGAAATATGTTGAAGAAATGTTTTAATATTTAATTAAGAATCGACATCACAGCACTCGGGAATTTCCATAAGCACTCCGTTCCCATTTTCAGCAGCGAGTGCATAGCGTGATAGTATATTCATCTCATCTTTCCATTGAATGTTTAGCATCAACCAGATTCCCCGGCCACTCTTAGCAGCACCATTCTCCTCAGACCAAGAAAGAAGATCCATCTGTGCTTCCACTGTTCACTTGCCACTAAAGGACCCTTATGACATCTAGCTTGTGATGCATCATTTCACACCAGATTGTGTAGAACAGTCAGTTTACCTGCTGCCTGTTCATATCCTAGTAAACTGCATGTCCTGGAGTAAAAAAAAAAAATAAAAAGGACGCTAGCTACCCGGGACCTCTGAAAGCGATGCTTGTCACTCTTTCATGGAGCATACAGCTCTCGACATTTCTCAGCATGCTCTGGGAGTCAGTTACAATTACCCCATGTGCGTACAGCTGATTCAAACCAGCGAAGCAGTGACTGCATCTACCTCCATTCTGAAACTAGATATGTTGTCATATACCAGATTTTGTTGCACTAAACGACGTCCATTCACTTTTGCTAAAAACTCCCATGAACTTTGCCCACCTTTCAACACAGAGCCATCTATACAGATAACCACATCACCATTATCATGGCATGGTCAAGGTAGGAGAAGTAAGGTGATCTGGTCATTGAATGAGAATGGATGATGCAAAACTACTTTTGTATATCTACAAATGTACAACTGACAATATCTTAAGACCACACCGACTCATGTGAGCCAATGCTAGAGACCAGGCACAAGGACAGATTGCTCCCCACAACAGCTGGCAGAAAGCCATGAACCAGCATTGGAAAAAAACTTCTAATGGTTCAACAGTGGACAGACAAGATGTCTGATCATTACCTGCCCATTTTCATCAACTTCAGCACTTTTATCACTGGCGGGAGGTTCACTTTTCTTGGTAGGAGAACCAAATTTCTGAAACATCATAAACACACACATGAAATAACATGCATTATTTGGAGTGTTTCTGTAAAAAAAAAACGAGGCGGTGGGAGAAGGGGATACTGAACTGTGAGGACCTGAAGACACTCAACATATAATAATACGATGACAACTCTATGCTGCCATGGACTAACTGACAATCCATGGATGATGTGAACAGATGATGCCAACTCTATGCTGCCATGGACTAACTGACAATCCATGGATGATGTGAACAGATGATGCCAACTCTATGCTGCCATGGACTAACTGACAATCCATGGATGATGTGAACAGATGATGACAACTTTATACTGCCATGGACTAACTGACAATCCATAGATGATGTGAACAGATGATGCCAACTCTATGCTGCCATGGACTAACTGACAATCCATGGATGATGTGAACAGATGATGACAACTCTATGCTGTCATGGACTAATTGACAATCCATGGATGATGTGAACAGATGACAACTATAGCTGCATTGACTCCTGGACACTCCAGCGATGATGTAGATATATGATGCCAACTCTATTACTGCACAGACCCTTCAACCCTCCAAGGATAAAGTGGATATATGATGCCAACTTTACATTGCATGGACCCTCCATATATGACGTGGGTAAATGATAACCAATTCTATATTTACATGGACGATGTGAGGTGTATGATGCCAACTCCATATCTGCACGGACCCATCAACACTTCCATAGCCAATGCAAATATATATGATGCCAAATCTATATTGGCATGAATCCATGGACACTAAACAGATTATGTGCATATACGATTTCAATTCTATAACTGCATGGACCCATGAGCACTACACACATGACGTGGATAAACGATGCCAACTCTATAACCGCATGGACCCATCATCGACACTCCATGGATGATGTGGGTAAATGATACCAACTCCAAATAGACATTCCATGGAAGATGTGGGTAAATGATACCAACTCTATATAGACATTCCATGAATGATGTGGGTAAATGATACCAACCCTATATAGACATATCATGGATGATGTGGGTAAATGATACCAACCCTATATAGACATTCCATGGATGATGTGAATAGATTATGCCAACTCTATATTTGCATAGACATTCCATGGATGATGTGGGTAAATGATGTCAACTCTATATAGACATTCCATGGATAATGTGGGTAAATGATACCAACTCTATATAGACATTCCATGGATGATGTGAAAAGATTATGCCAACTCTATATAGACATTCCATGGATGATGTGGGTAAATGATGCCAACTCTATTATAACTGCATGGACCCATGGACACTCCATGGATGATGTGGGTAAATGATACCAACTCTATAATTGCATGGACCCATCAACACTACACGGAGTCAGTGTTGTGGAATGAAAAGAGCATCTACACTAGCCACTAGAAGACTTAAATACTAATGCCCTTCAGTTGACTGTTGTACCAAATTATTATCAGTGACCACACACAGAGACCAATAAAAATACCATTAATATTACACTAGAACCAACCGTTGAAGATCCTGAGAATCCCAAGAGTTCCTTTGCCATGTTCTTCATTTTCTCCATGTCCTTGGCCTCTTCTCTGGAGTCTTCAATCTGAGAAATTGAATTCAAAAGGAGAACTCAGAATCACACATACTGTCAGGTTTATTCAGACATTTTTAAGTTCTTCTAAAAGGGGACTTAATCCCAATGCCCTGAGAAGCTGCTCCAGCACTTCCACCTGTCTCCTTTCCATAAATTCCACCTAAGCTATAAATACAGTTAAGAAATGGACAGACTCTTGGGGAGTCCCAATAAACCAGACCAAAACCGTCTCAACTCTCTTCTCTCTTTCCACAAAGCCAGAACAAGTTGATCTGTACCTAGAAGGCAACATCCTTCCACAAGAGGATAAGCCCACATATTTGGGAGTAAAATTTGACAAAAGGCTAACATGGGGCCTCCACATTGAAGATACCCAAAGGAAAGCTAAACTGAGGCTCAGACTTATGAAGAAACTCACTGGTACAAGCTGAGGTGCAGATGCCAACACTGTACGACAAGTATACACTGTAATTCAACACACCGCGATCGAAACCGACTGCTGGCTGCATGGATTTTTAACATCGTATGGGGCGTTGCAGGTTGACCCAGCCTAAAATGGGTACCAGGATGGCTGTCCTGGGAAAGTAGACAGCCGGCGTAATGCTGACCACATTACCCATCCAGTGCTGATTGGTCTGTAAAAATATGGAATGTTCTTCCAATATACCCGATGCGCCTAGGGCGTGAAAAGGGATCTTTCCTTACTTTTACAGCACTTCCACTTGTCTCCTTTCCATAAATGTCACCTACGCAGCACTTCCACTTGTCTCCTTTCCATAAATGTCACCTACGCAGCACTTCCACTTGTCTCCTTTCCATAAATGCCACCTACGCAGCACTTCCACTTGTCTCCTTTCCATAAATGCCACCTACCCAGCACTTCCCACCTGTCTCCTTTCCATAAATGCCCCCTACCCAGCACTTCCCACCTGTCTCCTTTCCATAAATGCCCCCTAACTAGCACTTCTGCTACAGCCTATCTCCTTTCCATAAATGCCACCTACCAAGCACTTCTACTGCCTGTCTCCGAGAAATCTAGCTAAGTGTTAGGTCCTGTTACCACCGGCTCAGTGTTTAGAGACCCAGATATGAAAATATTTACTTTAAAAAGCAATGAGGAGCAAAGGGGGTATGAGCGTATATGTCATCGTGAACAAAATGACAATGGCTCTTTTAAAGCCATTTGGATGTTACAATTTGTCCCTACCCTTAGTGTTAGAATTTCCAGGACACGAAGTTACTGCAGGAGTCACCTGGTATATTTTGTTTAGGCCTCAGTCGATGCATTCCATTTAAGTTTTACTGTTTGTTTACCAATTAGTCCCTCAATATATCTGGAGAACAAAAATTTTTGTGTAGAATAACTTTTATGTCTTTAGCAATGGCAGGTATTTTTTTAACCCCCCACGAGTGCAGCGGTGGGCTCAACCCGTCTCACAAATCAGGTGATGAGTAAATATTACAATTTTCCGGATTGCTGGAAAGGAATGGTCATGACAAAGAGAACCAACCAGTGTCCCCATCACATCTTCCCATGGCACAATTTTCCTAATCTGGACTGTCAGAGGCCCCAAGCTCTAGCATTGAATGTGGGATTAAGAATCGACATCACAGTACTCGGCACACTCCCATAAGCGCTTTGTCGCCATCTTCAGCAGCAAGTGAAGAGTTCCAATTCCCATGGCACTAGTAACAGTCTGACTGTATATCCATCTCGCCCTTCTCCTGAGTGCTGAGCGTCTAACTGATCCCCTGGTAACTCCTCGCAGCGCCATTCTCCTCAGACTTCATTCTGTATGCATTAAAGTTTCATCAGCTGACTCTTTAACATGGTAAGCATTCCAAGCTCATAATTTATCACCGACAGGAACACATGCTGGAACACTGAGAACAGCATTGTTTGTCCCATGTCCACTGCATGCCCTAGCATAGAGAGATCATTAATGCAATACCCCCTGCACTGATTCATGAGCCACTAGCACATGGTCACTGAATTGTTAAGGGGGCAGTGGGTCTATCCCCTCCCCTCCCCCCCCTCCTGCAACCTCCTCAAACACTGGAAAAGAATAAGGCTTTCATTATCATAATAGCACCTTTACCACTGCTGATGTGTGCCAGTAGTTTTTCCAATACTGAGGAATGAGGGCAACTTGAGCAATAAAACTTCCTTGTTTAGGCTAATATTCTTTAAAATAGCCCAGCCTTTCACTAATAGAATATACATGGTACTGTATGTGAGTTGAAACATTCTTTCAAATACCCCAACCTTGCGCTAATAGAATGTACATGGCACTGTATGTGAGTTGGGAACATTAACCCTTTGGGTCACTCACCTCTACCAATACTAAGCTATTACAAACATGCTAAGATTATGACACACACAAGCATGAAACACTCCTGGTTACACAATATATAAACTGAATGCTGGCATGTGCTAGCTTGTCAATGAATCACTCTAGATGCTCAATGAATGTGATTTGTCAAGAATTCACAATGAATGTGACCTCTATTGTCAATGAAGACCTCTAGTGAATGATCTTGAAAAACTGTAGCTGCATGAAAAACAATACTTCATTTTAACCTATTTGTAGTAGATATTCACACAAGTGCCTCCGACAGAGTGCCCAAAAACAACAAAAACAATCTTCAAATGCGCTAAGGTGAAAGTCACCAAAACCAGTTAGGTATACTACCAACTAATGTGACCTCTAGTTTGTCAATGAATGTGACCTCTAGCGAATGTCAGCGTGTCAATGAATGTGACCTCTAGCGTGTCAATGAATGTAACTTCTAGCGTGTCAATGAATGTGACCTCTAGCTTCTAGCGTGTCAATGAATGTGACCTCTAGCATGTCAATGAATGTGACCTCTAGCTTGTCAATGAATGTGACCTCTAGTGTGTCAATGAATGAGACCTCTAGCTTGTCAATGAATGCCACCTCTAGCCTATCTATGAATCTGACCTCTAGCTTACAAAGTCATGTAATAGGAAGCTGAATAAGATGTCATATAACCTAGTTCAATGACACAATACCAGCTCACTCTCACACAGTGCAAGTATTACTCAAGTAATCGCCCTAGTTTGCCCCACCTTGTTTTTCATCTCAGGTAGAAGTTCTTGCAGTTCCTTAATCTCATCCTGGTATTTTTTCACCTGGTCACTTTCTAGTTTTTCTGTGGGGGACATAAGAGAAACAAATTAGGCTTAAAAAAAAATGTGCAATTTTTAGATTTCTTTTTACAATTTTGCTATGGCAGTTACAATACTACCAACTCTTTACAACTGGCAACCACAGAAGGTGCAATACACACATGAAACATTTTGCACTTGTATGGAAAGTAGGCAGCTGTAGTGGTGTAGCGGCCAACACATCACATGCCGGCGCCAAGGTGATGTGTTTGAATCCGCCCTGTCTGATTTTTTTCTTTTTGAAATTGAGCATGTGTGGGAATGTCCCGAGTGCATTGAGGTCACTTCTTGATTCTTTCATTTATTCAGATGATTTGGGAATAATGCATCATAATGCACCTAGACATTCTGTTCTTGAGTCCTGTAATGAGCTGACAGGCTGTGGGAGAAAAGCTGTCACAGATAGGATAGACGCTATTATATAATAATAGATCTAGAAGTGGTTGAACTGAAACTCTGAGATGACAGGTTTGTGGGGTTGGGGTTGGGGGGAGGGGGAGGGGGGGGGGGAAGAAGAAATGTCATGGCTAGGATAGACAGTAGACTAATCAAATGATAGATGTAGAAGTGGTTGAACTAAAACTCTGAGATGACAGGCTGTGGGGAATGCTGTCATAACTAGGAAGGAACATTAGCTAGTACAGACAGTAAACAATAATAACATGTAAAAGATAAGTGGTTGTGGTAGAAACAATTTAATCTGTGTAATCTAAAGGAGGATATCAGAATATCTGACAATGGCATGAGTTCAATAGATAGGACCACATACAAAATTTAAAGTTAAAGCAAGTTAAAGATGATCTAATTTTTAAAATAAACATGTATTGTGCTCGAATTCACTACAAACAGACCATAACTACACAAGTTTGTGTGTACATAATTTCTAGACATAAAGGCGACAGACGCATCAAGCATACGATTGCTGGCCCTTTCCTGATAACATTCAAATGAGAAGTTGACTGTTGGAGAAGTTGACTGTTGGAGAAGTTTTGGTTGTCCTCAGATATAGTATCAAGCCACACAATGATTGAGTAGTTTAAAACTGCTCTCCAGTCGGCACTGTCTTAAAAGATGACACATAATATCGTGTAGTTGCAATGAGCGAACTAGTCACATTAATCACAAACTCCCACCTTTATCATCATCATCAGCTGCTGCCTCCTCGACAAGCTTGCTTAGAGAGACTGCAAACAAAAAGGTTCAGTATGTACTGGTAGATGTCAATGATGATTACAATGTGTTCAAGAAACTATTCTGGAGACTATCCTAGTCAAACGAAAATAGTTACATAACTCATTTTGAATGCTCATCCTATTGGTTACCAATTCATCTATGGCTCCTTTCATTAGAAAAATGAGATGTATCCACGGACCTGCCAATGCCTACCAAACACTGACACTTTTAGAGAAGATTTTATTTGTCAATCACTATCATCCAGTATTATCACTGAAAGAACCCGTATGGGTTCCAAGGTCCCATTGTGGTGATAACAAGAATAGACCCACTGCCTCCCCTACAAGCATGACATAAGAGTTGACTAGTTAAGTACTTTTTGAGTGTATCTGCCTGAGAAGCAAGAGACCAACAATCTGCACACAAGTATTTCAGATATGTAAAATGGCTGTGCACGCAACACAGTTCCTAGAACAAGGCTAATGTCAAGAGGTGGACGAACAACAGGAACCTTCTGCCCGATTTTCAGCCAGTGAACACACCTAAGAAGATACTTATGTCCACTTCACTCTTGAATGTCCTCTACCAGTTGTTTTGACTGGTTCTACTGTTTGGTTGCACATCTTTTCATGACATTTTGCTTGTACTTTATAGTGATAACCAAAAAAGGTGCACGAGTATAACCAAATACAAATACATGTTTTGAAGAAAACATGGGACATACTTCCAGCCACATAAACACCAATGTTAGCCATGTAAGTGGCTGTAAGCTCCTCTGTGTCTTTCTGTGCATGTATGTGTCAGTTCGTGTACATGTCTGTGTATGTATGTGTGTCTGTATGTAAGTGGCATATCTGTGTGTATACAAAATGTATGTATGCATGTGTGTATGTATGCATGCATGTGTGTGTGCATGTATGCGTGTTGTGTGTATATGTGGGGATGTGTGTAAGTGAGTGAGTGGGCGTATGCATTTGGGGGTGTGTGCATACATGTTACCTCTGATGCTTGTTTTTTCTTGATATTTATAATATTCATATTACATGAACATAACATGCTTTATTGATAAATAAAATACAACTGCTGTGTGAAAGATGGGTGTTTGGAAGGGCCAAATGTAAGACTGGCCTGCATGCCAATTTGTGACCCTTTGAAAAAAGAGTTTGTTCGTTCGTTTCATGGGGGTGGGGGGGGGGGGGCAGCTGACCGAACAGTTAAGAACGCCGGGCTCTATGAAAGACCCAGGTTCAAAACCTCAGTCTGCTCACTGAGTTTTTTGTCCCTGTTAGGGGCCAAAATCAAATCTGCAGTCTGTGGCGATGTCATTAGCCATGTGGCTCTAAATACTCAGGTTCGTAGCCCCCTCCCCAACCCACAACACTGCAGAAAGTGTAAATACAGGTAGTCTTTTCTTGTATCGGCAGGTTGCCATGTCAGTCTAGCCTGCAACACATAACTCGGAGATCTGTTGTAGATGGCATGGTGGTGATCCTTTAACTGATGAAATCTAAACAAGTATAGGTAACGTCAGGAATAAATAAAGACTAAACAATGAGCATACCAATCTTGGCTTCAATAACACCAATAGCCTCTGTGTAGTGTTTGATGGCCAGCTCAAATTCTTTGCCCAGCCCATAAGCCAGGCCTAGTTGGTAGTGAGTTTCTGCAATCAGTCTGTCATCTGCCGGGAGCAATTTCTGCTGAATCTTCAAGGCATTCTCCAGGTCTTCAGCTGCAGTTGCGTGTTGCTCTGGGGGGAAAGTAAAACAACACAATTACACTTCAAAAAGTAATTTACTACTAAATTTACACTGTAGGTAAGGGTGATGAATATTCAAGTAGATACCTATACGAGTTTCTGGCGAACACAAATACACTGTAGGTAAGGGTGATGAATATTCAAGTAGATACCTATATGAGTTTCTGGCGAACACAAATAGACTGTACTGTACACACCTTCTTCATCTCAACGTTCACTCGCTATCAACTCTGGCAGAAGGTTCTGGATATTCATCCTGGACTTTGTCTTGTTCCAGAACTTGACTTCTGTGTGCACATCTGTTTCACAAATCTGGCTTTGTACGCAGTTTTCTGGTTTCTTGCCTCTCAGACTGGTGCTTTCCAACTTCAAGTGGCCTTGTACAACATGTGAGTCAGGCAGCAGTGGGGTCTATCTCTGCCCCCCCCCCCCCCCCCCAAAATAATCCACTAGAGGGAGTTGTACACTAATCTGCATTCAAAGGGTAGAGAAAAAGAGTATGTGCAACTAATGGAGTTTAATGTCTGTGATTCTCAAAGGGCAGAGAAAAAGAGCATGTGCAACTATTGGAGTTTTATGTTTGTGATTCTCAGGATCGGGGCAAGTATATCATCCTTTTATTTACTGTGTAAACAAACAATCACCACCGTGAACCAGCTCTACTCATGCTACAGACTGACAGTGAAAACAGTCACTGCACCAATATGGTGATTAGAAAGGATTATCATCACAGCACTCCGGACAGATCCATATTTACCATTATGGTAAAAATATATTCGATACAAATAAACTAACATGGAATAAGTGTTGTGAAAGCAAGTAAAGGTACCACAAATCAGACAAGACCTGTTAACTGTTGGGTTTTTATATATATTAGATCACTGTATTATGTGGGTGTGAGTAGCTTCTGAGGGAAAAGACAAATCAAATCAACAAAAAATGTCTAGTGGATCCTAAATGTAACAGGATTGGAAATGACGATATCAGAAAGAAATTGGGACGGAACCAGTACTAAACTACATCAAAAGACAGATTCAAAGGTTTACACATGTGCCAAGACTATCATAGATAGTGCACCACAAAGAGCGCTGACACTAAGACATGATACAAGCTGATCTTGAGGCGGACCGCACAAGTGATGGAGAGACGGATTATCCAAGACTGGGAATATTAGCATCTACATAACACATACCAGGGCTGGCACCCGATGCCTCTACTCAACTTGATGTTGAAAGGCAGAACAGGACTAGAGAAGTAGACTAGCTTATGTCATCTATGCCTTGCTTTTCATGTACTGGGAAGACAAGAGCCAATATTGTTAGTGCTAAACTCAGGATGACAGTGGGCAAGTGAACATCTTTTTCATGTTCGCCCGCAACAGACTCTGGGGGAAAGTTCCGGCTGTTTGTCTATCTCCGGACTTTAGTCTCGTTCCAGAACCTGAGTGTTACATGCACATCTGTTTTACAGATCTGGCTTATTTGTATGCAGACTCTTAGTTGCCCACCTGTGGGGCAGGTGTGCTCTGACTTCAAAGGATGTTCCCAAAATGTCAACTCTTACGACATGCTTGTTAGGATGGCAGTGGGTGCATTATTGTTCTCCCCACAGGAGGGCTCCGGGACCCATACAGGAAGGCAAGTGAACACAACACAATAATGCTACCACATCTGTGCAAAAGTTAATACAGACCTGTCTCCATGCTTAGTTCTCCTAGTCTGATGTAACATTCTGCTGCCTTCAGTTGATCAGCTGCTGCATCAGACCTGATGGTGACAAGATAATTTCAAAGTACGATGAGCTTAACCAATACATAATAGTAATTATAACAGTTTGCAAGTTTTAAACATGTGCTGGGGGTCATAATGTTATTTATACTTTTTTGTGAACATGAATTAATGTAGCATTAGTGGTGCTAAACACAAACAATAAGAGATAAGATCAGGAATAAAAAAATCAGGAGAATGGAGGGAGCGGCAGCTCTGGATTTCTTTAACGTGGCTATCAGCAAGCACTGATGTGCAGACCAGACGGGAAGCGAAAAAGAGGCTGACCATGCAAACGATGGGCAGAGGGAATAAAAGAGTCCCCGAGAATCCCCATTTACGAAGCGCACAAACTGGCATTTTCCCATAAATTATTCTTAACCTTGACAGTGCAAAGTATGAGACGATCAAAATGAGATGATGAAACTGACTTTTTGTCAGGGACATCAAGCATCTACTGCTTGAAATATGGTGGAGTACAAGGCAATGAGTAAATTAACAGTTTTTGAAAGTACTCTTCTTTTTCTTCTTGTTGAATGGCTGTAAACAATGGAAAGTTCTAGGCATTCATCCACCTCCAGACTTTAGTCCTGTTCAAGAACTGAGTTGCTGGGCACATGTATTTTAAAGATTTGGCTTATCTGTATGCAGTCTGTTGGTTCCTTGCCTCTTAGCCATATGTATTCTGACAGGAGGATGAAGGTACTCATGGAAGGAACACTACTGAAAAGGAAGATAATGAATGAATCAATCAATAAATGGCAGCACTGCAATCAGGACATTCAGACATGTGCTCTGTCCCCTTCTTGAGTAGCCAATCAAGAGCAACCTATAGCGATAGCACAAGCTGTAATTTGATTAAGTTGACATGCCTGTCATGACTCTTGCATCGATAATCTGTGCCCTTTTATTATGTCTGTTAACTGTTATCTCACACCACTTTCAGTGAAAAAAAATGAAATGCCAACATCAGCTCTCCTGAAGTTAACGATGAGAGACACTACATCTATGATCAGTAACCAGGCTTTTTATTGTCTCACTGATTTAAATTCAGATAACATGAGTTCAAATTTTATTTTCACTGGTATGCTCCGTGCAGAGTGGCAAGCATCACTTCAGAGGTCCCGGGTAGTTAGTATAGTATCCTTTGGATATTCACTCCAGGTCATGTCAGTGTGGAAGAGCAAATACATCATTACGTTCTGAGGAGAATGGCTGTGCGAGGAGTTACCAGGGGATCTGGCCAACGCTCAACACTCAAGAGAAGGGCGAGACGGATATACAATCAGACAGTTACTGGCATCATCGGAATTGGAACTATTCGTTTGCTGCTGAAAATGGGGACAGAACAAGTGCTATGATGTCGATTCTTAATTCAACAAATGTTATTTTCAGTTATACTGGACAGTTTAGTTTATATCTCTTAACCTATCTTCTGTGCGTTCTTCCTGCCAGTAGTTTTCACATGAGAAAGCCACAGGCTTCTATAAGTCTGCGGTATGATGCATGTCTTCCAAACAGCTTGGTTTCCATTGGAATGCCAGCCAACCAACCAGACCTAGGATATCTCTGCAACATGTGGAGAGCATGCCTGGAGCCCATGTTCAGTTCCCTGTAGTGTCTGTGCACCGTTCTGACTTTCCTGTCCTCTAGCCTAACCTATGACTAGATTAAAAGAAATCACGTAATGCTAGGTAAAGGCTTCAACTATAGTCAGTAGCTTCCAGCTCTGCAACAATGGGTTTCAGTTGAACTGAGACATGCTTGACAGAAATATCTGGAGCCAGGATCCACAAACACTGCGACAGTTAACCGGCTACAACAAATCGACATATGACACAAGTTGTATACTTACTTCAGATAAATTACTTTTGCTAGATCTAGGTACTCCCATGACAACTGGAAATTAGGGACATCCTGTGGCAGACAGACAAGTGACAGACTAAGATGAACTGATTGAAAACACAGAAATAATAAAGCTATGATTCACCACAACTTTATTTTCCCTCACTAATATCCTTATTACACACAATTACCATTTGCGAAAAGCAGTGTGAATCTGAAAGACACAAAAAACAAAAAAGTAATAATATCCATGAATACAGCACACCAACCAAGTACTGATATTGAAAAAAATCATTAACCATTTAACTATAACCAGTAATTCTTGCTTGATAAAGGCTTGATACTACAACTAGTTTGCTGCAATACCACATCAGAAATTATAAACATAATCAAACACTACATTTTAATGACCAAACTCCCTGTTGGAGCTATTATATCCACAAATGTATAATTATTGTCCAATACCAGAAACTGACTGTAAACGAATTAATCCCGAGAAGTGGTACAGAACAAATTATAAACATGTTATTTAGAACATCAGAAACTTTCAAGAGTTAGTACAAACAACAATGCAAATGAAGCAACAGAGAAATGTTTTTACAAATATTTCTTCTATTTCTGTGTCTGCCCCTTTTAATATGCAGTATCTACTGCTGGGATTTACAGCTAGGCTGTGATATCCAAGCCTTTCAGCCCAACACATCCAACTTCAGCAAAGCTAATTAGTCAACTTTTATAACACGCATGTTAAAGAAGCAGTAGGTCTATTCCTTTTTCCTGCCTGAAACCATGATCCTAGAACCCACAGGGATTTGAATCAATAAAAACATGTCTATTAGTAGAAAAAAGAACTAACAACAATCCAAACGTAGGGTAGTTCTGAACTGGAAGATATTTGATTGTTACCATCTTTGTCAGCATCCATGTGGTCGGATGTGTCTTTCTCTTCATCTCCTGTCTTTGTACTTTCCAGATCAGGTCCTTGACTAGCTGCTGAGTCTTGGAGTTGCTCCTCCCTGCTACATATTTTCTTGTCATTCTGGCAGCATTTTGTTAATTTCATCAACTTTTCCATCATCAATTTGACTGTCTACAACATCAGCAGATTTGTTTCCAGGTTCAGCTGATCCACTTTCCTCTTCTTTGCTAGCAGCAGCAGTAACTGTTGACTCCACACCTTCCATTGTTTCCTGTGATATATCTTTATCAACAACTGTCTTCTGCTTGCTAACTTCAGATGCATCTGTCTCTGTCTTATCCACTTCTGATCCATCTCCTGGTTGTGTATCCGCTATTATAGCCGGTGACTGACCAGACTTTCCTGAGGTCTGCATTTCTTCCTCTCTATCTCCTGCTGCCATGGCTTGATAGACTTGCTCTCTGAGCTCCTCTCGCTCCAGGCCTGAGAAAAGAAGCAACTTTCCATCTACCATCTTTATGTAATTATTATTAAAATAAGCAAGTTTCATAAACGGCACACACACACTACTGAGGCTGACTAACATACACAAGCAACTAGTGGAAGAATGCTGTCAGCTGCAGACAAGTTTCATACACAAGCCTAGTGGATGTCACTGCTCAGTGTCCACATTTGGAAGAATGCTGTCTTAGACTGAGGCACTAACAGACACAAGCCAACTGTGTACTGTCATCAAAACATGAGGCTGACTAACATACACTTAAGGTTAAGACACTTTAGCCTCTAGTTCTGGCTGCAGATATGAGGCTGCTATAAAAGAACTAGTGGAAGAATGCTGTCAGCTGCAGACCACTAACAAACAAGCATGCAAGTTCCTGAAATAGTATTAACCCTCAAACAGAAAAGGCTATTCAATATGAAGAATGCTGATGTGGGCTGACTAACATCAGTTGTGCTTCATTTCCCCCATGTCCCCCCCCCCCCCCCCCTGTCATCAAAACAAAAACGGCCTGATCTTAAAGCTTTTTTGCCAATCCCAACAATATGCACTTAAGACAGGTGCACCCACATTCAAGTATCTCAGATCTAAGCAGACACTTATAATGCAGCAGAGACACGGGGGAATCGACAAAGATGTTAAACTTTGAATATACAAGGCAGTGGACCAAGAGGTGAAGAAAACAAAAAATGGAAGGTCAAAAAACACATTGAGAAGGTAGTTAGAGGGTGACAAAAAAATGGGGAGGACACTGGGATAGCTGCATGCAATAGCGAAGGATAGAAAACAACATGGTTTGTGTTGGTTGAAGGCCTATGCTCCATTGGGGGATAGGAGGCTATTGAAGGGGTCAGAACAGAGATTAGTATCTAGACCTAACGTTTTCTTCTGCGTTTGCCCTTGAAAGGGTTGTTGCCACCCATATTTATGCATACACATGAATTTACTTCACCGTCAACAACCCCACCCTAATGTTCAGAGGGAATATTTCAGAATAAAAGTAAAGGAAGAATACCGTCAATGTGGAATATAGACTTTGAAATGTGAAATTATAGCCATGTCATGTCACGGTGGTCATGAATGTCTGACGCACTGCCAAGACAAAAGTTATATTTCAAAGTTTTATTTTATGTAATTAATTACATATTTTTTTAATGTCAGAAAAAAGCATAAAGGTGTCAAAGGAAAACAAAAAGAAAAGGAGTGAGGAAAAAGCTGAGTTATAATGAATGAAAGTGCATAAATCTATACTGTGAACAGCAGCAAGTCAAACAATGTCACATCAAGAAAGAGCACAACAACAAGAAGGAGAACAACTTACTGTCATTTTCTAATGGCTTCTCAAACTGTTCATTGGCTTCTTCCTCTTTTTCCTCTTCAACATCAACTGAATCAGAACAGAGAACCATGCTTTTCACATGTAATCATATACAAGTAATCATGTATAACACTGTTAAATGAACTGTGCACATCTGCTTGTGGTAGGGCAGGGCAAAGTTTAGGACATGTTACCGGATGTAAAATATGAACCACTGTCAACTTTCTCTGCTCCGTTACCTCTCACCCGGTAGTGCACAAGATTCATCCTCCTACACAGAACCACTGCTTTGTTTATCTAACGGGACAATTAACAGCCAAAATGATTAATACTCATATGACTAAACACCAAGATACACAAAGGTGTGTCAATCCCACAAGAAAAGCGTATGAACCAGATGGTGATGGCAATGGAGAAATCATTGATATGTTGTATGGACATTTAGACAACATATCCTGTAAGCATCCGTGTCCAAGCCTGAACACGTTCATTATCTCAAGTGCTTGTCAAGGTTTATATTGTACAAGTGGTTCACTTCTAGTGGAGAGACTGCCTGCCCCTTGAGTATGGCACCGAAGCACTACATCAGTAAACCATACCAAAATATTAACCTACTACACTAAGGAGAAAAGCAAAGATATATTCTCATCAATACTTTGAAAGTAATCAAGCGACACACATTACCGTACTTACCACCGTCTAGAGCAGCTCCTAGAACACTAGTCTCCATCCTGCCCAGCTCCAAAAGGGCAGAACCACAGCTATAGTAAGCATCAGCACAATCTCTGGACAGTTCCCCACAAGACTTGACTCTGTTTACACACAACAGGACAGGTCAAGAAAACATGCTAGTTAAGATGTCACTAATAATATCTGCAAAATAAAGTCTGATGAAACTACAGTGCCAACAAACATAATAAAAAAACCTCATATTGTAAAAAATTGCAAAGTTTTCTGTCAAAGACATGGCGAGTGGAGTTAAGAACTGACATCATAGCAGCCAGATATTTCCCATCCCCATATTCAGCAGCCAGCACAGAGTTCCAATTCTGACGAATGGTTGCAGTCCTGACTAAATGTTTGTTTTGCATTTGAGACAAGAAATACTATATCATATAACAATTTGGTTACTCAACGGTTACTTGTACACATGCATGTCTAAAGGAATCTTTTAAGAATGCTGCATGAGAGAGAGATGGTGGCCCACCATTGTCTCCCCTTATGTGAACACACAACCCTTGACATAGTAGGGTACATTCACAGTGAATGGTTTTTATTTTCAAAACACTACCATCAAAGCTTCCTGACAGAGGTAGCGCAGGTACACTGTTGAAAACTGGGGTCTCACAATACTCAAGTACACTGCAGCAAATCTTCGTTGTGGAGATGTGGAGGCGGCACACCATTTTTTTTTAAAGGTAACTAATAACAAAATAAACAGTGCTCCTTAAGTGTGTTCCGGGCCCCATTATGGAAAACAAGAATAGATCCACTACCTGCCCAAAAATATGTTGTAAGAGTCAAACTAATTTAGGGCTTCCTTCAAAGTCAAAGTACATATGCTTGAGAGGCAAGAAACTAATAATCTGCATGCAAATGAGTCAGACCTGTAAAACAGATGTGCATGCAACTCAGTTCCTGGAGCAGGACTAGAGTTTAGATGTGGATGAACAACCAGAACTTTCTGCCGCAGTTTACAGCCAGTTTATGCAAAGAAGAAGAAAATAAATAGCACTGCTTGCAGCTATGCTTGTTATGGTCCATAGGGATTGATTTAACTGGTGATTTTACAAACTCAGCTAGCTGTCCAACCTACCTAATGATAAACAATGCTCAACATGTAAAGAAACAACATACTCTTCAGAAGAATAGAACTTGTTCTTGGATAAATACCAGGCCAGTATGGTACTCCTGGAAACAAAGGGAGATAAGCTTGAAATAGCTGGAAACAACGCTGATTAAACTCATCCTTCCCGAATCTTTAAAACAGTCAAAAACCTTGTGGTTTCAGGGTTGGGGGGAATGGGGCATTTTGGAGAGAAAAAGAATAGATTCACTGCCTCTCTTAATAAGCATGCCATAAAGGCAACTAATTAGGAGTGTTTCCTTCAACGTCATAGTGCATCTGCATGAGAAACGAGGAACCAAAAGTCAGCAGATAAATCAGATCTTTAAAGTAGATGTGCATGTAAAACTCCAGTTCTGGAACAAGACCAATGTCCACAAGTGGATGAACACCCAGAACTTGCTGCCAGAGTTTACAGCCAGCGAACACTAAGAAGAAGAAAAAAGGTAGTCGGGAGATGTGAACCAGCCTCACTGCACACGGTTATAAACCATGTGAACCAGCGTCATTGCGCACGGTTATAAACCATGTGAACCAGCATCATTGCACATGGTTATAAACCATGTGAACCAGCCTCATTGCACACGGTTATAAACCATGTGAACCAGCTTCATTGAACACGGTTATAAACCATAAGTGCTCTGCCACCAGTACGGACAGCTAATAAGAATTGCCCGCCTGTGTCGCCATCCGTCTGTAACTCTATGGCTACAGGGACGTTCCTCCATTTACCCCAGAGTAAAGAAGAATAAAAGACAAAGATACTTATATACAATCCTCAGAGAAATTAAACGGAAACACAATGAAGATTACAGATCAGCTCGTGGCAGCATATACAAGTGGAAATTGGGCAGACTCAGAAAAAAAGACACTGGCTATGGATGTAGAACACATTATCAATGAATAGGTCCAGGAGAATATATTTCTTGAAAAACATAAGAACACGGAACAAGACTTACTAACATTGTGCCATATAATTAAGGTCTGCTCCATAAACTTGCCTGCTTGTGTTTTGCAAAGATTGTCTCTGTTCTTTGTCACCTGATCTTAAATGCAGCCTAGAAAACTACTTTCAAACAGAGTGACTAACACCCCAAGCAAACCATTTTCTGAGCTTTTTTCATCAGTTCATGTCCGGCATTTCCTGAACTGCTCCAGTCTTCTAGACATGATTTCTGATGTGGTTACACTGACAACTCATGTTCTGTACTGTTTATGAAGTGACTGAATTATTCCCTATAATGTATAGTGTATGAAGAAGCAACTGAGGCGCGGTAATGGCAATAATACAAAATTAAAGAAATACTTACAAGAGCTGTACAGCCTCTTCGTAAAAGCTGACAGCTTTTGGTATTTCACCACAAACCATGTTGCGCTTCCCCTGAGCTAATAACTCTGAAGCTTTCTTGATTGCTTCAGACCTGCGGAAACATTTTAAAAAGAAGGCTACTTTATACATGCCAAATGTAGGCTACACAGGTCAAACTGATACCAGTTAGAGATGTCATATTCCCCTGCCCACCAAAGGTAGATGAGAAGTTACACACAAATACTTCTTGCCTGCAATTTTGCAAACAGCCGATTGTAAGTAGTTTCTAAAACTTCACATATCTATCGATTATGGGGGTGTCCCCGAGTGCTGTGATGTCGATTCTTAATTCAACATTTGATTAAATTCTTGCGTGCCTCTAGCTCATAAGAAATATGGGCCATTGGGTCAATTAACAGAAGAGGTGATACAACGGTACACAACACTTCTATGTACATCATGCAAGAGAAATCTGGTTGGAGATTCTCAGCCAATCAAAAAGGTCACTGTAGAGCATAATGAAACCCACCATTTCAAGCAGGAAAATTAAAAGGCTTTTTTTCAGGACAGTGATGTAGCGGGCATATAACACATTTAGCCTTAGATTTCTTTAGAGCAATTAGTGATGTGATTAACATCATGATAACTGCCTTTTCTTCTCCGGAATTTTCCTGCTGCCTATTGCAGAATGTATCATAGTAGGAACCAAGATAATTTAAAAATTAAGCTGGCTGAGCTCTGAGGAGGCAAGTCAACAGATTACTTTACTGTGTCTGATTTTCTATGTATATTGCGTAACATTCCCACCGCCATGCATCACATGTGGGTTCTGTACCCAGAGACCTCTTTTACAAAGATAGGATAGACTGTTCTAATGTCAAGTATGAGACAAACCTGCAAGCATACCTGGTTTTATGCTGTTGGCCAGAATGGGCCAAATATGCTTTTATATATATATATATATATATGAGCACTGATGTTAGTAATGTTTGTTTCTTCCAGAATGTTCTGTTGGCAGCTATCCTCCTAGAATATATATTTTGTTTTAATTGACATCTTTTGCATTTTGCTATATTTTTCTTCGCGTTCACTGGCTGTAAACTCCAACAGAAGGTTCTGGTTGTTCGTCCACTTCTGGACTGCAATCCTTTTACAGAACCTGATTTTGTGCGTGCATCCATTGACAGATCTGACTCATTCGTGTGCAGACTGTTGGTTTCTTGCCTCTTAGGCAGATGCACTCCGCCTTCAAAGGAAGCGTCCAATTGGTCGACTCTTACCACATGCTTTTGGATAGGCAGTGGGTCTAGTCTTGTTTTCCCTTAAAAAGGCCCCTGAACTCACACGGGGACTTTGCTATATTCAATGGTCCCAGGCTAGAAAACTGCTGCACCTGTTTCAAACAATGGGCTCTCCTTCAACTGACAATAGCTAACATGCACGCTTAGACTTTGTCTGACAATTACTGCAATGAACTAAACCCTGTGGTAGGTGCCTAATTACAAAAAGCAATTTGTCAAGTCGTTATGTCCGAGTTTTGACTTGAGCAACTAAAGAGTCTGTTTTTGTTTCTTTAATGTCTAGGAAAAAACCCAGAGCAAAAGCAAATCTTTTCTAGCAGAACAGAAAATTGTGGTTGACAGTAATTATAAATCATACTTTTCAGAAGATTCCGAGGCGGACGAGGATGCAGAAGCAGCTTCTGTAGCCATGATTAAATCTGTCTAGTTGGTGGATGTAGCTTGCTTTTGTCGTGCCGGTGTTTACTGCGGTCTGTGAGATAGGGCTCAGTCTCCTGTCAACAATCTCGCTGCTCGCCTTTCCCGCTCTAACTTTTTCTCTTCTGCTACTTGGCCTACTCTCCGCATCAAACGTCCCATCTGACACTTCCGCCGCGCCCAACAAACAATACTGCTAATAAAAAAATTTATAAATAATTGGCACTTTTTTCAATACTTGGTGCATTTTCTTGACATTTATATGCACTCAAGGTAAATTATATAACAGATTTTAGGTATTAATAAATTGCCTTTAAAGTGTGGCTTTGAGAGTGTTCCCCAAATGCGGTCAAGCTAGAAGTGCTCATGTTTTGATGACGTCACTGTCTTTCCCGGAGCGGCCATAACAAGGTAAACCTCGTGGGCATAGTTTTCTCACTTTCTGCTGGCTTTTCTGCTTCAAAGTTGTCACTCTACGACTGACTGCTGTAATTCTGTGTCAGCTATATTATTGGTAATATCTTAGTTTTAGATTTTCATACAGCTTGGACTTTGCTGTCAGTATCATTGGACCACAAACGCTCAGCCTGATTGAGTTCACAATGTGATGTCCTTTCCTGTAGTCTGTAGTATTTGAGTTGAGTCAGTATTGAATAATAAAGTATGTGTATCGATTTATAAATAGTGTGCTGATTCAGCAGTCAAGAGATATATTATACTATACAGTATTACTCGATTACATGTGAAAAGTGCTAAGGTAGTCGTGTGTTATTTTTTTTAAACGGTACACCGAAATGAGTTTCTCAATTCAATTATTAGGGATTTTAGTCAAAATTTAAATATTGGGTTTTTTACTTTTAAACCAAGACAGCTGAATAGAGGTTGAAAAACCGATTCCAACGGTACCTCAATGAAGTCTGTATGTCAATTCTAAGCAGAGATATTCACATTTCAGTGACGGAAAGTGCCCCCAAAAAATTATAATTGGAAAACACAGAAACAATATGGCGGCGTGTTCCCAAGTGAAAACTGGACCTAAATTTATCATGTTTAATGTCAATAACTCTTAAGTTTTTTGCTGAACCCCTTAGCAACCATATGTCATTGCTTTCAGGGCAGCAAGCTCTAACTAAAGTTGTTGCCTTTTTAAAAATATGATGTGATGCTACCCCTAAATAACATAAAAATGAGTCAATTTATCAGTATTAATTAAATACCTTATGAATTAATTATTATTATCCAGTAAGTCTTGCAAGACGTATACTGTAATATATATATATATATATATATATATATATATATATATATATATATATATATATATATATATATATATACTTTTGTATCTATCTTTCCTGTTATGATGCATCTTTTTCTATTTGTTGAAAAATGCTTTTTCTCGCACTCTCACTTGTGTGTGTGAGTGTGTGCGTGTGCATACATCTGACCGAAATTTGCTTTATTCCATTGTTTAAATTAAAAATGTTCGATAGCGAGTGGATTGACTTCATTGCATCGTTACTGGTTTTATATGGCTTTGTCTTTCTCCACATAACTAAACAGCTAGCGCATGCCGAGAGCTTAGCACGAAGCCTGAATACCGTAGCTCCAGCAACAGCCCTCAGAGGTCTCCGCTAACCAAAAAAATATTTTTGAGTCGAACAACGCAGTTGTAAATTAACGTACTATAATCTTCTGAGCGCGAGGTTAACGGCTTGACCACTTAGCTACGAAGACCCCTATATATTGTTTTATAACCAGGTGAAAATGAGCGCCCCTCTTACTGATTTAACATAATCCCTTTTTTAATCTTTGCGAGTTATTCTTTCATTTTATTGATGATGAGACATTTCACCAGTGTCCCTCTTCTTCTTAACTAGTCACTGCTCGATATTTTATTTACTTGTTCAAAAAAATCTAAGGTAACCGCTCATGCCCGATTTCTGACTTAGTGCTATGTTTTTTATGGAGTAAAATTATTAAATAAGCTCCTTTGTGATTCGCTTTGGATTTATGTTGTGTTTTCATGGAGCAGCATTTCATAAGGTAAGAGGAAAAATAACATTATATTTTATTAACGTATCTATGTCCTACGTGATCTGTGATTAAATATTATTAATCATAAATTGTAAGTAAGTGAATTTATTCAGTTGAAAATATTATAATATATTATTATTAATTTTATTAATCAACTTTTTAAATCTAAATCATCATCTGTAAGTCAATACTACAATTTTAAAATAGTATCAGTCATAAATAATAAGTGTTATTTATACTATTTGAGACAATAAATATGCACCACAAAATCATAGTGCAGAAATGTGTGGCAGACATTTTTTTAAATGTCAGTCTGGGTGCGGGGAGTGGGGGGTCAACAGGTAAAAAGGCTTCAAACAGGAAATGTTATTCATGCCTAATGATAAGTTATGGCTTAAAAAATGCTACAATGGCTAAAGATTAAAAAAATGATTAAATAACTACTATATATTCATTTAAAAGTATATTATAAAATGTTTAAACTACTGTCTGCGTCCAAAATGTCAGTCTGGGTGCGGGGAGTGGGGGTCAACAGGTAAAAAGGCTTTAAACAAAAAATGTTGTTCATGCCCAATGATTGGTTATGGCTTAAAAAATGCTATAATGGCTAAAGATTTAAAAAATGATTAAATAACTACTATATATTTATTTTAAACTATTATTATAAAATGTTAAAACCACTGTCTATGTCCATTTTTAACGCAAAATACCCTAGAAAATAGTCTATGTTAAAAACGTGCTAAAACATTATTTTCAGGTATCTAAAATTATTAAAACTCATGTGAAATTAAAGTTAAAGAAAGATAAATTATAAATACAAACAAAACTTGCATTATTTTTTAACTGTTTCTATAAATAACTAGATTAATTAATCTGAAATAAACAGTTCGTTTAGGCCATGCGGTAGCCATTTTGAAAAATCGCCGATTTAGTGACCGGGAAGAAATTTAAACTGTAAATTTTGTGATATACAGATTCCAGCAAAACTGCACATCTTTATGTAAAAATGGACACAGAATCCAAAAATGACACTTAATAGTATATATATTCACTTTAAAAAGGAGATATTAATGAAATTAAGTTACCGCATGACAAATAGTGAAATTTATTACGCTCAGTAAAGATCGCTATCTAATTTAGGCGTCGTTCGATAGAGTGGCCTCTTCTGAATGACCAAGAGCGCATGTCATCACTTCTGAACTGCTAGAATCGCAATCAAAAAAATTAATTTATAATTCGTTATGAAACAAAACATTTTCACGGGTCCGCGGATCCCTCTGCGCAACCAAATTGCGCAACTTTCGTTTTGGCTTTGTTTACATTGGAAATTGTTATCGCTACAATTATATATGATATGCATCAAGTAAGTCTGTGCTAGGAGCTAGCTATGATATGCCGCTGTGAAAAAAAAAACGTTATTTCACTTGTCACTGAACTCACTGCACATTGGGCATCGCCAGCGGGCTTGGTCCTCCAATACAGCAGTCATTCTAAGGAACCTTTACTGAGTGTTCCCATGAGGATCTGGTTATATATATAATGAAATAATGTCCCCTGCCTCGACACATGTGCTTCACACCCATGTCATGCAGTTGTGTTAGTAGTATCATAATAATCATAGATAAGATTTGTCTTCATCTGCACCACCTGTGCTTCTTCGCTCATATGTTGTGCATTGCTGCTTGCTTGCCAATTGGTCCGCTCGTTCGTTACCTTTTACGCCAACATGTCATAACCAGCTATATATAGATCCAGGTGAGGGAGGTGACTTCCGGATACTTTCTTATTCTACCAAGAATGCATACAAGTTGCTACATGTTGCAATATTATTCTTAAAAATCATGTTTTTTGAAAGTCTTGATACAATTACTCATGGGTGACTACTTGTTCCGCTGCCCATACTAGATTGATATTGCTTCTGAACCTTCAGTTCTTGATACTACTGTCGAAACCAATGACCAATGCAAGGTTGTCTGCTGCCAAATAGTTCACACCTGGGATCAAGCTTGGCTTCTCTGAATGCGGATACCTGCAAATATGTACAGCTAACTTATAAATTCAATGGTTTCATCTAACGATTTTTATCAGTGATTTGTGTACATAAAATTAGTTAGGTGAAGATACTTGGTAAAAATATGGAATCCGAAATCTTTTGCCACAATTCATTTACTATGTCGGTTACTGTTGAGGCCCAGGAATGAGTCCTAAAATCAGATTCATGTCATGCTAACACTTTGTGTTGCCAGATAGAAAAGTAGAAAGTATACATGATATTTTTCCTGTGTGGGTTCTGGACTGAGGCCCCGTATGAAAATCCATGACATTCACAAGGCCAAGCTAACATGCACATGGACAGAGCTCGTGTAAGTTGATGCTGTGCTCAAGAGATTCAACTGGCAGTTGTACACGTTTGTACACATGAATCTCTGGTGTTGGGGTAGTTGTACACATGAATCTCTGATTTGGGAATGAATCTTGGCCAGTCATGTTTCATTATGATTATTTTATTTTTTCTGTTTGCCCTTAAAATTTATGCTCTGTGTTTTGTTGTGGTTTGCAGCTAGGCTGCAGTATCTGTACTTTATTCACTGTGTGTGTTTGACACCTGTGTTTGCTTCAATGCTGGTTATTTTTTTTTTTTTTTGATGCCTACAAGATCATATTTAAACCGCTAGTACTGACTGCACTTGTCGAGTGTGGGGGAAGCTCATAAATTGGACCATGTGTTTTCAAGAAACTTGGTCGTCTGTACACTTATTTATCTGTGTTACTGTAACTTATCATTTGCAAACATTTTTCCTTTCAAGTTTATACACTTTTTAACAAGTGTTCACAATATGCATTTGACATTTCCCATTTCAGTTGAGACAATGAATCCAGAAAAATTAAAGCAGCTTCAAGCTAAGGCTGATGTTGTTCGTATTGGAGGCAAGGTATTGATTGCATTCAGACATGTTTGTACTTGTGGATTTACCTGTAATTTTCTCATTGCTCTAATCTGTTAAGATATTTTGTTCAATTTGTGGTTTATGTACATTAGTCTGATTTTCTGAACACAATATCTCTTTTCTGAACACTCCTGTAATCGTGTGTATTCATGTCTATTGTTTGTGTTTAATGTTCTTCTAAACTCTTGTTTTTGTGTAGTATTTGTTTCTAAACACAATCCGGTGTTGTTTCTTGCAGGGCTCAGCCAGAAGAAAGAAGAAGGTTATCCACCGCACAGCCACCACAGATGACAAGAAAATTCAGTTCTCATTAAAGAAATTATCTGTCAATAGTATTCCAGGAATTGAGGAGGTAATTATTTTTTGTTTTTTATGACAGAGCTGTGTGCAAAGTGTTTCATACAGTTAATACAACAGTCTTTGGGTGGAGGCTTGACACCCAGGAAGCATTTTATACCAGTTAGTCGCAGACACTTGACAGCACGTTGCAGAATCAACCCCAGAATTTTTTAATTTGGGGGGGGGGGTGGTAACTAGGTGATTCTACATTTAGTTGTTGGTCGTTGCTTTCTGGAGAGTCCGCTTTCAATTCCACTTTTGGTTGCAAGGTGGTCTGGAAGCATACTGCAGACATCAAAAGGAAGTTGTCAAAAAAATTTTTTTTTTTTTTTGCAGACATTGTGGAATTATTGAATCATAGGGTGACATCATTGCACTGTGGTCTATCCAGGTTTTATGCTTGTGGTGCCAGAGGTATTGGCTGTAGTTGACTTTCCCATATGATCTTTTGAGCTTGGTTTTTATTGTATTTATGCTTCCTAAACTGGGGTAGAGGGGGTAAAACAGAGTTAAAGAACTGAGTCAGGTTAATTGGCAGTGGTTAAAGAATCTTGCTGGCCAAGCCTTATCGTGAGTCCTGTCTTGTGATTTGGTTATTTATAATGAGAAATTGACAGTTTTCGGCTGACTGGTGCGCACACCTATTTTAATTGCTCATGTATGGTTCACTGTGAGTTCGTCAGATGTATAGATGCTTTTGTGTAAATTTTGCTTCTTTGCGAGGCCATAACTGAGCACCACACTATTTCAAAAGCAATATAAACAAAGTAATTATTTGTTCTATTCTTATAGTATGAAATTGATGGTTTCCCTGATATATTTCTTCTTCACATTTCATCTGTGGAAAGTTCAGGTTGTTCCTCCACTTCTGGACCTTCATCTTAGTCTAGGTGTTGCATGCACAGCTATTTTATAGATCTGACCTATTTATTTGTCTATAATTGTTTGGTTCCTTGCCACTCGTGCAGATGAATTGCAACTTTCAAGGTAACCCCTAATTATTCAACTCTTACAACAATCTTTTTAAGGGGGCAGAGGGTCTGTTCTTGTTTTCTCCACAATAGGGCTCTAGGACCCATAAGGTTCGTTTTTCTTCTGTTTTTTTTTTTTTTTTTAAATTTTTTTTTTTTTTTTTGGTTGTTGTAAACATTGAATTTCTCTTTGCAGGTAAATATGATCAAAGAGGATGGTCAGGTGATTCATTTCAATAATCCAAAGGTCCAAGCTTCCCTGGCTGCAAACACATTTGCAATTACAGGCCATGCTGAAAACAAACGTAAGTGAACCTTTATTTCTGCACTGCCTGGTGTTTTGCATGTGCTTTTTATTGCTGTCACCGCCTAGGTCATAGTGTTTCATGTGATAAAGGCATCTCCTCAGTTTATTTGAGGATGTAATTGCGTTGTGGCCATTTACAGCATGGCTGCGATATTTGCAACTTTCAATCAACACATTCGACTTCTGCAGGCAGTTTTTGACTGACTGGGTTCGTTTCATGGGGCGTTGCAGTTTCATTATTATTTGGTTATCTTTAGGGAACCAAAGGCATAGTGTCCAAGTCCTGCATAATTTTGTTTCTCCAGACAGCTTAAGGGGTCAGATAAAAATGTGCCACTGTCAGTTATCAAGGCATGTACTGATAAGAGCAAAATGTCTGTATGATTTATTGTTTTTGGCACATGAAATATTTAATTGCATGTTGCAGCTATTTGTATGAGAGACTTACAGTTTGGATGTTGTTCAGTCATCCAAGGTTGTGGTTTGAGTTTAAACTTGTGTTTCTGCAGAAATCACAGAGATGTTGCCAGGCATCCTGAACCAGTTGGGCACTGAGAGCTTGAGTAGTTTAAAGAAACTGGCATCAACTGTTGCTGGAGGTAAGATGTTCAGTAAGTGCTTGCTTGAGGTTCTCTTCTCTCACTCCTTATTTTATTGTCTCCTTCTGTGGTGACATGTAAGCCATTTATTAATTAAAATTAAAGAGTTGGCTATGTGGACAGGTAGATCTGGATGTTAACAAACACAAATCCTGACGAGTGCCTGGCGGGAATTTTTCTTTTTTTTCTTTAAATAGTATCACAACCAGTGCAGGCTAGCAGTTTTTCTCCTGTAGGTAAAAGTTTAATTGTACCTGCAATTTGCAAAACCTCGTCTTGCTCACGCTTTGTCTCCAGCCATGCTTCAGACGACAGACACAGGCATAACGAACAGGCTGTAGAACACAACTTCTGTCCTGAACAGTAACTCAACACAGCTCTGCTTCTTGTGGTTCAGGACTGGCGTTCACTGGATTGTAATCCAGATCCATGTTTTTACTTATTACTCTGGATTCACCTTCACTTCCTTTTAATCTGGGGTCGTCGCGGAATGACCACCTCTCAATTCACCAGATCTCACATTCACACGTGACTTGCTATATTCTGTCCTTTTGCCATCTCTCTATGAAACCATGTATGAGGGACTTCCCTAGTTCTGTCAGTCACACCCTGACAGTATCTCTATTTATAGCATAATTACACTAGTATATAACTGCTGTGACATAAATTGTGATTAGGGTTTTCCCCTAAATAATTCAGTGTCTGTTCTCTTTTTCAGTAGCAGATATCAACAAACAGTCAACGGCAGAAGTCGATGATGATGACGATGTGCCAGGTATTTTATATGTACAGTTGTTCTGTCGTGAATGCTAGGAATGCTAACATAATTTTTGTAATTGTAAATTGTTGTGTTCTGACATGTCTCTGCCATCACTGCCACACGCCATAGCTATATCTGGGGTTTTTCCTAATATTGTTTATAAGGTTGCATGATCCTTGTCTTAGGATGAGGCTAGTATCATCCCAAATACATTCCTCTCCTGTGCTGTTGACGGATGCCAGAATATTGTGTGGGTCACTCAACTCAGTTACCAGAGAATAGGTAGTACTGATTGCTGTCACACAGTAGCCCAGTCATTTCTCGCTTCTGATGACTAGGGGTTAAAAAAATTTTTTTAAGCCAAATTGTTTTCCTTTGTGACTGCATGTCAGTCCTTCAGATGACTCGAAAGGTTCCACAAGACAACATAGAGAGCGAACTGGCCCGCCAACCAAAGACACAGAAAACAAATCATTCTCCAGTGAATCCCAGTTAGCAGAGAGACTTGCAAAAAATGGAACAAAGTAAAAACAATATGCCCATTCATTGTCATTACCAGAAATCAGAACACTTATCAAGGTAAAATACAAGGAATTGTGGAGAGAACAAATTAACAGTAAACGCCTATAAGACCACATCAGCAGGCTCAACAGAAAGCAACATACAACAATTTTCTGTCTACGAACAGGGCAATGCAGGCTCAACTACTACAAGCATGAAATAAAGATTGTACAGTCCCAACAGTGTGCCTGTCAAACAGGACCACAAACACCTGAGCTCATTCTGCAGACCTGCCCACTCTACCTACAACTTTTAAAAGACACCTGGCCTCAAGAGCAAAGTGTGCAGAGCAAGCTATGGGGAACCATGAAGGACCTGCTGCTGACATGCGAGTTCATAGAAGCAACCCACCTGATAGTCTGATCTGAGCACAAGTAACCGAACGCAAAGAAGAAGATCATCATCTCGCTAAAACCCACTCTGATGACAGTGATGCTAAACAATACATTCATTTACAGTGTCGTTCTCATTTTGAAAACATGAAACCCTGGTTAAAATAAACATTGAGTTAGCATGAACCAAATGTTGGTCCTGGCAGTGGGTCTGTGATGGGGATACCAAGACTATACCCACTGTCTCCTCAACAAGCATGTTAGAAGTGACTGGGGGGGGGGGGGGCAAGGAACCAAGTCTGCATGCAGATATTTCAGATCATAGAATGTGCATACAACACTCAGTTCTGGATCGACGTTACGTTAGAGGTGGTCGAAGCAGTCGGTGAATACGAACCAGAAGAAAAAGATATGATTATTAGCTATAGCGATGTTTTGGGGCCATTTCTTGGTGAGAACCTGCATTTTTGCACACGTTGTCAGCCATTCCCTAATTGTCAGCACTTGGAACTGGCCCATCTTCGTTTTCCTCATCTGATGAAATTTCTCCTACAGCTTCAACTTCCTATTCTTTTTATTAGCCCTTGTGTTGTGAATGTTGACTTTTCAGGTGGATGTCAAGTACACACACGCACAAAAAGAAAGCACATTTATTATCAATGACACTGTGTCTGTAATTGGATTTCTTGAGATTTATGTGGGAGAATGTGTACATCACCCTTATGACATAACTTAGTTATGCCTATGTACAATTTTAGTGACATAATTTAAATGCTGTTTATTTTTTTTTTCAATCCTCAGAGCTTGTTGAGAATTTTGATGAGGCGTCCAAAGATGAGGATGTCTAGATGATGCAAGGGAATTGCATGCATTAATTTTAGCACATACATATGGCATGCAGTAAAAATTATCTACTGTTTTTCTACGTACTACATAGTTTTTTTCCTTTGTTAGTTTGTTGTGTTGCAAATGGCATAGTTTATCAGGTCAACTTCTTGCTCGTTTAACCTTCAGTTATGCTAAATACAAATTAACCTGCTGGTGGCTGTTAGAAACAAAATTGCAAGGGGGAAAAGCTTGCATGTATTGTCATCATCACGTGTCCTGCTTAAATATCCACATATCTCGGTGCCTTGTCCTCAATTGCAGTCTATCCGTTATCGGTCTGGCTCTTTTACCGTTGATCTTCCAAGTCGTCACAATATTCTCCATCACATGATAAGAGTACAGTGCTTGTTTTTTCCTCATGGTTGTATATATTGATCTACTTTTATTAGCTTCCTTCAAGCAATTCTTGTCAGTTACTCTGGCAGTCTGGCTGGATCTGCAAATCTACATCTGGTGAATTGATACATGACAAGGCAGATGTGGTCAAAGCTCTTTGGAAACAAATAACGGAGAAACTAGATTATTATGGGTTGGAGAGAATGATGGGTGTGACCAGCACACTACGCTATGCTCAGAAGAAAAGCAAGACGACCATACAACCAGACTATGATGGCACCATTAGTATCGGAACCCTTCACTGGCTGCTGAGGGTGGGAAAATGCTCCAGTCGCTATGATGTCAATTCTTGGCTAAACTCTGGTAGTCCAAGGGCTTCTTACAATTCATCTGAGAAACCACATCTCTGTCGCCTTCATATTCTTTCTGTTTTGTGAATTCATGTGCCACAGTTGTGATTTTAAAGAATTCTATTGCAGTGTTTATCTTAGCTTTCACCAGCTGTAAATTCCTGTGGAAAGTTCCTGTTGTTAATTTACCTCTCAACTATTGTTGTTCTAGACCTGCATATCTGTTTTATAGATCTTACTTATTTAAATGCACCCCGTGTGGGTTCCGGGGCCCTATTGTAGGGAAAACAAGAATAGACCCACTGCCTCCCCAAAAGCATGTTGTAAGAGTCGACTAACTGGGGAGCTTCCTTTGAAGTCGGAGTGCATCTGTCTGAGAGGCAAGGAATCAACAGTGTGCATTCAGTTGAATCAGATCTGTAAAACTGATGCACACGCAACACTCAGGTTCTGTGGACGAACTTTCCGCCAGAGTGTACAGCTGGTGAACGCGAAGAAGAAAATTTAAATGCAGTTTGTTGGTCCCTTGCCTCTCAGGCAGGTGTACTTCAAAGAAAAGCCCAAAGTAAGTCGACTAATATGCTTGTTGAGGAGGCAGTGGGTTTGTTCTCGCTTTGCCCCATGATAGAAATCAGTGTATAAACTAAATCATCAGTTAGCGGGAATCATCACCAGTAATGGCCATTAATTTGTAGCATACAATAAAAGACATGGCAATTCAGTTAAACCAATGCAGGGCTTGAGATGACAAGTTTTGGGGCTAAACAAGCATGCTGTAATTCAGCCACTTCTTTTGAAGTCAGAGTGCATCTGCCCAAGTGACAAGGAACAACCAACTGCACACAAATAAGCCAGTAGATGGATGTACACGCAAAACCAGTGGGCAGTTACAACTAGAGCTTACAGCTGATAGACACATGAAGATAATTGACAAATACAGTTGAGTCTGGATAAGTCGCAGGGACCTAAGAAAATTCTTCCACTTGTCAGGATTTCTACTTATCCAGACAGCACATACAATAGAGAAAATTGGTGGGGCTAAGCTGGTCATTTGACTTAAGTGGACTCGACTGTATACAGATCTCAAGATGTCCGGGATAGCGACTGACCATGAGAATCCTCTTGCTGTTTTATCTGGCACTTTGTCAGATCAACATTTTGGTCAGTCACCTACATAGCCCCCTAAACATTTAATTTATTGCACTACAGGAACTTGCTATCTTTCCTCCTCTGCAGAGATCATAGTTCTCAATGTCTGGCAGTTAATGCCACCTGTTTTACGTCTTGTATATTTGTAAGGCCCATGGTCGAGTTTTCCCTTCTGGTGTCCATATAAGGGCTTTTCGGGCAAGTCTTATCTATTCTGAGTGCATGGCCGATGTAGTTCCAGTTGTTTTGCTTGGTCTTGTCTTTTCTTCTAGCTTCTCAAGACTTGATCAACAAGTCCCCATCGTAAAGCATCTTTTGTTTTTGAATTATATTTCTAGCTCTAAATCATGTGATGCTACATTCAACTAGAATCGCACTGGCATTAGTACCTTTGACATCTGGAGATCAAACACACAAAAACCTTTGATCTTTAACTCGTGTGTGATTTCAGTGCTAATTTATGAATGCCAGAGTGTAAAAGCAACAGTAGCTCTAGATTTTAAAAAAGAACTTTAAGGGCAAATGTTATAAAAGAATACTAAATCTCCACTGGGCAGATTTAAGATCAATTACACAACAATCATTTGTGGGTGTTAGAAAAGGCCAACTAACAGTAATACCATACATATGTTTATTGGGGCTACAAATCTGCCATAAATAGTATCCAAATTGACCATGAACACGTTTAAATAACATTCCAACACAAATTTGTAATGCTACTTAACAAGGGATAGGCACTTGTGTAAACCATAAACAAGGTGAAGAATATTGCGCCTGTTGTCTGCCTGTCATAAAAGGAAGCTAGGGGTGTTTCCTTCACATTTAAAGCTTACCATCCTGAGAGGCAACAGTCTGCATACAAATAAGCCAGATCTGGAACTAGAACAAAGTCCAGAAACAGACCAACAACCAAAACTTTCTATGAGACTGGCTACTCACCTCATACAACAAACTTTTTTTGCACAATACGTATCAAGAACAAGTCTAAATGTGTGTCAGTTGGGGACTTACTCTCCATATAACAAAGAGAAAAACACAAAAATATGGGGCTATAGTTGAAACTTATTTGCTCATCTTTAAACCTTGAAAATCACAGGTGATGCTTATTTGACGCTTAAAAAAAATGGGCAAGACTTAAGACATCCCTATCAACCCAAGAAGCTGTAAAGACACTTCCAGTCCTCTGTCATTGTCACTTGCTCTACATATCTGCAGTACGTGTATATGAGGTGCACAGTTAATAAGTTCACTGATGGTGAGGATGTGAATATCTACTATAAATCATGAACCCTTTCTGTATTTTGCATGTTTATAAATGAAGTGTTAGCTCCTTCCAAGTTGTGACTAATACACCGGTTTAAACTTTTATTTGCCATTACGAGTACAGGGTTAAATTTAACAATCAGCAGAAGTAAACTTTCCCTGGAGTTACATCCATTTGAATGTGTGTCCGAGACAGTACAATAGTCTTGTCTCCCACCTATTACAGGAGAAGCTTCAGGTACACTTACAAGCATTGACTAAAGGTACAGCAGCGGTGGAGACCAAGATGAAGTAGACGAGATATTAAATGTGTATATGATTTTAGTTGTTAGCTCTGTGGCTAAGTCACGCTTCAGGATGCCGGGTTCGATCCCAGCTGCAAGCCTTGCGTTGGTTTCGACGGTGGTATCAAGAAAGCTGACTGTCCAGAAATCAATGGCAAACTACCGGACATAAATTTGCCTAGAAAAACCACACAACAGCCAGGGGTTGTTGGGGTTGGTTCTGCAACGCCCTGCAAAGGATACACAACTAACCGTATGGTTTTAGTTAGACCCCTATTTCCACTAGGCCTGCATACAGGGCAGCGGTGGAGACCAAGATAAGATGAAGGATGGGAGAATAGACTTTCACTGAGCCGGGCAATTTAATCTTTTACTTATAAAAACAGCAATGGGGATTTCTTGTGAACCGAGTGGCTTTTACAAAGCAAGATGTATCATAAACTCCTGCAGCCTCAATTACCGGGGTTGTGGACATGAGCCACATAATACATTTGTTCAAACCTAGGGGAATGTATTCCATTTCTTGCTTCATCCTGTTATTTTTTTTGCTTTCATAAAAAAATATAGATACATCTTTTACAAAATATATTAGTTACCTGTATTTTAAAATATGCGTAGTACATGGTTTTACCTCTGATTCAAGCCGAGTCGGAAGAATCTCAGCTTAGTGCGCGAACTCTGTAGCACCGGAGAGGGTCCTGAAATACTTTGGGTAGTTTTTTACTCAAAACGGACAGCGCTGTTAAGCTACTCTCTTTTCTTTTTCCGACTGCTGATAGACTTTTTTTTTCAGGATTTTCTTTTTTAAATTCAAATTTCTTGTGTATTATCTTCTTGATTTTACGTGCTGTAAACTTCATCGGAAAGTTCTGACTATTAGTCCACTATTGGACTTCAATCTCATTCCTCAGCTTGAATTTTGCCTGCACATCAGTTTTACTGGTGTGGCTTTTTTGTGTGCAATCTGTTGTTTCAGGTAGCTCAATAAACATGAACAACTACATTCCCATGGGCCTGACAAATAATTTATAAGGTAACCTCACTGTGCAACCACTGAAGTGGTTAGCTCTGGTTGTGGTTGTCATTGCATTTAAAATGGCTTTTTCTGGTACAATAATTCCTGCCCCAAAAGCTGTTTATAGTCAATATAATCATATCCATCCCTCCTATGCACAGAACAAATGTTAAATAGGCGTGCCTGTGACAGGCCAATGCAGCAATAGGGGTTTTTCAGCTTATAATGGCTCTGCAGTGGATGGCTGTGCCAAAATAGCAACATCCTGGAGCGGAAGGGTTAACCCTGCTGCAGTTTGCACCATCTGGCGACTGAGCTTAAGGGACCTGGGTGCTGTTTTAACAATTCTGTATCCTTTCATTTGCTCGTTTTACATAGAGTATTGCCAGTCCCAAACTTGTGTGAAGTTGCATGCATCTAGAGAAATTAAAACAAGTACCAAACTTGGAATATTTGTATAATCTGAACACTGAAACAACATACTGGCACAGATTACAACTTATGTGAAACTCAGAGATAGAACCAAACAAATCAAGAGGTAAGGAAAAAATACCAATACTGCCTAGGGTGCATACTGAGATAACCAGTTACTACTATAACTATACAGTCCTTTCCATGGAACCCCACAGAGCAAGAAATAAAAACACATGGATCAGAGACATAGATGAACATTATGGGAATGATGAGGGAGCTGCAAATGATAGGACAGTCAGACATGAGTTGACCTGGGGTCTGTTCTCATGGGGGGGGGGGGGGCAGTGTCTGAAGAATTTAAGGTATTTCTTGACTGTGCCAGCTTTTCATCGCATATGGCACAGGCAGTCAAGCATCCGTGACAGCGTTGTACCGAGCATGAAATCTCCCGCTCCAGCTATCACTCCCCTAGATTCCCCACAGGCAGTCAAGCATCTGACAGTGTTGTACCAAGCACGAAATCTCCCCACAGTCTCCCCACAGGCAGTCAAGTATCCGTGACAGTGTTGTACCAAGTATGAAATCTGCAGCTCCAGCTATCACTCCCATAGTCTCCCTACAGGCAGTCAAGCATCTGTGACAGTGTTGTACCAAGCATGAAATCTCCCGCTCCAGCTATCACTCCCCTAGACTCCCCACAGGCAATCAAGCATCTGTGACAGTGTTGTACCAAGCATGAAATCTCCTGCTCCAGCTATACCTCTCCTAGATTCTCCAAAACAAACCACCTGCACTTATGAACTGAACGATGGAGTCCTAAACCCAAACAGCAGCCTTTATTCACCCCCCCCCCCCCCCCCATAAAAATCCAAGTACTGTTAGCAAGAACTTTGAGCAAATATTTAAATAATCTGGTGTCAACAAAAGATATAATCACCTAAAACTGGTAATTTACTGTCCAAATATCAATGTGATGGTTGACAAGGTTTTGTTTTTTTATCAGCTATTTTTGGTTGAGATCACTCTCCACATCAAGCTAGCAAGGCTATTTTGTTTTCATGACCTAACACTGAAAATCCTGACTATTACAAGTACAAATTGCTTGGGTTCTGGTTTCTGTGGTAGAGCTCTAGGCCCCACTTGTCACAATAAACATCTGACATTTACATATCATGTTTGTTCAGGAACAAAAATAGGTAACTAGGGCACAGCGTTTAGGTGAATAAAATGTGATATTTCAATGATTTCCTTAATCTCAGTTTTGATAGGCCCCTCAATAAGCAAGAGCTGGTCAAGTGTGCCAGGTTGTTCCCCATCCCAAATTAACCTAGTCGTGTACGTCTGCTTTGGATGTCCGTGTCCGCCTACTACCTGGCACCTAACTTTGTCACATTTCTGATGCGAGGTCAACTGTGAGTCCAGCAGCACAGATTCAGGGTGTATCTCCCTTGTGTGTGTAGCGATATCATCAGCTCGTACATCGGGTGATTTCAGATCCTCTTGTCTCAGTCTTGCCAAAAATGATTCAACAAAAACAGAGCCCTTGGATCCAGCCAACACTGCTGTATTTGTAGACTGGTGTCTTAACCTAAACTCACTATAGTGTGGAGTGGCAATGGCACCGGCATGTCTCAGTGAAAGTGGAATGGGTTTCAGAAAGACAACGTCACCAAAGTGTGCAATGCCACCATGCTGAAGTAAAGTGAACAGCGCGTATGCCATCGCTGTATGTTTTGTGTTCAACTCCTCAGATGAAGGCATTGGAATGTGTTTAACATTGAGTTCATGTCTTGTTCGGAGTCTGTCCCACAAAGTCCCCGCTGGAGGTGTAGCTGCATGGACAAAGACATCATCAACTTTACCCTTGAAATAGGCACTTTTAATGCTGAGGTACAGTAAAGGGGTAATTTGTGTAACCCCATCTTTAAGTATAATGTGAATACTGTTAGGAATCTGCACACTGGAAAACATGGGAGCATTAATTACATTAGGTGAGCCATACATGACACTACGAGCAAAGCGGTGAAATCGGCTATCTCGTATCAGCAGTTCTTCGGAAGATAAATAAGAGTTAATGCCGATACAGCTGACATTGACATACAGTTTGAGACTGTTGACAGTTGATACAGCAGGGCAGGTTATCACCACCCTCCCGGGGCTCTGGCTTGTGTGGTAGGGCTCTGTGTCCGACACAAGAAACACCTGACTTTTCAGAAGTTCTTCCTCCGTCGCTGGAGGAACTGTTTTCAGATATGACGCTGATGCTCTCTGAGAAAATGATTTCTTGATTAAATCTGTTACATCTGAACGGGTTAAGTTGCTGATGGCAATATCACCAAGCAAAAATACTCCGTATGGATCGGGAAAATCATAGTGATCATAGGTGACACCTGCAGAAAGGTCATGTCTGCAAATACGATAATTGGAAAGAGGCCGCATGCTTAACATCGCAACATTTCGCTGAAGATCTTCTAACCACCTCCAATAGCCTTGAGGGTCTGCCCTGGGCTGACTTCTGTAGTGAATGACAATTTTGTCTGGCTGCAACTGTTTGATCACACTTAGAATTGACAGGTAGTGACCCAGTTCAAAGTAGCCCTCAGTACACCACACGTAGTGGACAGTCAGCGAGGGGATTCCAGGAAGCAACACTGATCTATGATAATTATGTGTCTGGTCATAGGAAGCATTTATCTCTGGTTTAGATTTTCCTGAATCCGGTGTCTGGCTAGAAACATCTTCAAACCTGGAACTGTGACCTGCACTCAGGGAATCCCAGACCCAGTCAGAGCCAGGTGGTAGTGACTCCAACAGATATGAGTTTCTGAGTTTTAATCTGCTGCGGCAGCTATAGATCTGAAACATCAACAGGGCAAACAAAAGTGAAGGCACAATAAGTGTTGCCAGAGACTTGAACCCACGGAGATCGCCTGACTTGTCCACAGAAGGAGACATTTCTGAATGACTAATACAAGTCACACTGTCGGAAACGCTGAGATTGAAATCTGTGATTGGCTGGCTGTCGTCAGTTTGCAGGAACTGGTAATTGGCTTTATTCCTGCAATAAATAGAGATATGATTTTATTTACAAGGAAATAAGTAATGTGACAAAAAGACAACTGAAACAGATTGTGACCACTAGAAAGATTTGTGGATAAAAGAGAGCAGGACAACATGAGAGGGTTCTTGACAGCCTTCTTCTGTCTGACATTGATGGGTGTCATCACACAGATGGGTGCCATCACACGGATGGGTGTCATCACACAGATGGGTGTCATCACACAGATGGGTGTCATCACACAGATGGGTGCCATCACACAGATGGGTGTCATCACACAGATGGGTGTCATCACACAGATGGGTGTCATCACACGGATGGGTGTCATCACACGGATGGGTGTCATCACACGGATGGGTGTCATCACACGGATGGGTGTCATCACACGGATGGGTGTCATCACACTAACTGATACATGCTGTTAAAGATTGCAGTTGTGGAAAGGCATCATCGCCCATGCCAGTCAGCAAGTCACTTGATGATGAAGAAGTAATGGATGTCTTTGGAGATTCGTTTTAAAGGTTTAGAAAAACTAGATTTTGCAGCTTATTCAAGTCTGGATGACATGAGACATTTTCACTAGGTTAGATTAACAGTATAAACTATTTCACATGACATGGATAAAATGTTTATGGCATCGTGGTGCTGGGGTGTCTGTGGATTACCTCCCTTTCCAGACAGGAGCCAGAAGTGTGTTGTGTCAGTTCTTAGGGAAATATGGATTGTGTTTCTGCCTTCCCATTTGACACGTAGCTAAGGTGGTGCTCATTCCCCACCACAAGATTGCCTGAAGGTTTCGCTGAGCTCTTCTTGGCTCTAAGCATGAATAGTTGGGGTAACTGGATCGTCATGTCCTGAGTCCCTGTGCCTTCACGATAGTTTCCGGTATTCAGTGGAAATAATTGTACTGGAAACAGCAGTATACCACCTAAAGACTGTAATGGATGTTTATCCTTCAAAGGCCCAAAATATTGTCATCTACACAGATTCAATGTCTGCTCTTCAAGCTCTGGAGGGCAGTGAACACTGCAGAACTGACATAGCTAAGATAATTCTAGATGCTGATCAGCTCATTACCTCATACAACATCAGAATAGTGATGCAGTGGATTCCAGGCCACTCCGGCACATCAGGTAATGACAGAGCTGACACACTGGCAAAGAAATTAGCAACACAAGAACAACCACCTACAGCGACAACCCTACAGACAGCAAAAACACTTATAAAAGTTATAAACAAAGAGACTTGGCTGAAAAGATGGGCAATGGAAGACACTGAAAGAGAGGTTTATAGACATATGTCTGGCCCTGATCCTAATGACAGCATTAACCATCTAACAAGAAGGGACCAGGCCATCATCTTCAGACTCAGAACACAACATACTCCACTCAATGGACATCTAAACAGAATACAGCCAAAACACTCCCCAGAGTGCCAGTTATGTAACTACCCCTACGAAACTGTTGACCATCATCTCTTTGAGTGCCCAAAACTCAACGAGACTAGAAGAATGCTACTCCCTCCGAGACCAGACAGGGGCAACACCTTGTACGGAGGAAAAGAAAAGCTTGTGAAAACATGTAAATTCCACTACATGGCACTGGGCCAAAGGGCGAAAGCTCATGCGCCGCTGGATCAATAACAACAACAACATGGATAAAATTAACATGTACATAATGCAGAGTGGATGCTGAGATAATTTAATTAATCATTTCTTTGAATTTAAAGATGTCATGGAAATATATTTGTATTTGACTCAGGTCTGGGTGCTAAGAAACAAAGGAAGTATGGATACACTGTCTGGGATGAAGGAGTGTGAGGTAATGAAAAATCATTTTGTTAATACAAAAATGATAGCTACAGATTGTTACATACTGGACAACGCAGATTGTTATAAATACTGGACAACGCAGATTGTTATAAATACTGGACAACGCATATTGTTATAAATACTGGACAACGCATATTGTTATAAATACTGGACAATGCAGATTGTTACATACTGGACAACGCAGATTGTTACATACTGGACAACGCAGATTGTTACATACTGGACAACGCAGATTGTTACATACTGGACAACGCAGATTGTTACATACTGGACAACGCAGATTGTTATAAATACTGGACAATGCAGATTGTTATAAATACTGGACAATGCACATTGTTATAAATACTGGACAACGCAGATTGTTATAAATAATACTGGACAACGCAGATTGTTATAAATACTGGACAATGCAGATTGTTATAAATACTGGACAACGCAGATTGTTATAAATAATACTAGACAACGCAGATTGTTATAAATAATACTGGACAACGCAGATTGTTATAAATAATACTGGACAACGCAGATTGTTATAAATACTGGACAACGCAGATTGTTATATATACTGGACAATGCAGATTGTTATAAATACTGGACAATGCAGATTGTTATAAATACTGGACAACGCAGATTGTTATAAATAATACTGGACAACGCAGATTGTTATAAATAATACTGGACAACGCAGATTGTTATAAATACTGGACAACGCAGATTGTTATAAATAATACTGGACAACGCAGATTGTTATAAATACTGGACAATGCAGATTGACAAACACTGTGCTACTGGAACAGTCAGCATTTATAGATGATGATATTTGCTGTAGGAAATGGAGTATGGATGGCTATGCCCAGTGTGCTAACGCCAAGCCTTAAATCTACAATCTATCAGTTCACAGATATGCATGATTATTTTTTTAAATAAAATAGTACTAACAAACAGTCATCATTAAGCGCCTGAGAAGAACCATTTCTTGAGTTCTCCTTATCAGGTCTGTATTGTATTATTACTGATTAAAAAGTTTGGTTTTAATTGTTGAAACATTCGAGCGAAATGATTCCAAAATGTTTTGGTGGGATCTATCAATCCACCTGTTGTAAACCTTCACACCCCCCCCCCCCCCCCCGGAAGAAAGTACTCAGGTAGGACTAGTATTCAAGTTATTTCTTGCTTGAGTAGAGAAAGCGTCCCATGAAATGCATTTGAAGCATATTCCCACACCTAACAACTATAAATGTGTGTTACTGGTCTCCACAGATCGAGGCAGACTTACGTGTGTCAACGGCAACACAAACTGTCACAGTCTCCATCTTTGGACAATGCAGCAGAAGTCAAACAGACTAGCGCCCCCTTATCACGTGCCGTGCCGGCCGATGCAGGTGATCGCCGTTTGTGTGAATCGCCTGGTAGATAAAGTTTTTTTTTTTTTTCGGCTATCCTCCGAATAACGGTCTAACGGTTAACGAGGCTGAAAATATACCGTAACAGGACCTCAGTCACGTGTAAAATGCGCACTTCCAGCGACTACCGCCACCGCCGAAAAGTATCTCCCACGCCGCTACGTGCGGGCAAATAAAATGAAGGAAACTGCAGGAGATGCGGTAGCTGCTGCTCGTGAGTCCCAACCATCTAGTTTAGCCCCGCTTCACGCCGCGCGTGGAAGATACTCTAGGCGGTGGCGGTAATGACCGGAAGTACGCAATTTAAGTTGCCGGAGTCCGCAATTTACATGTGACTGAGGCCCTGTTAGGGTATATTTTAGACCTCGATAATTTGGGACCGTTATTCGGAGGATAGCCCTTTTTTTCTGTTGCTTATCCGCCTGTGGATTACGGGATATAAGCTAATCCCGGTTTCTCTTTAGAATATCATTACCCGATTTTCTGCGTACTTTTAAAGATAATAGACTGATTCATTTTTTTTTTTCCATTAGATTAGCTCATCTTACCCGGGAAGGCTAACCCGGTCAACAAATGCCCACAGAAGTCGGATGAGTAAAATGTGTTGGCCGAAATGTGCAAATATTGCAGCCATGCTGTAAACGGACACAACGCAATTACATCTTCGGATGAACGCAGAAGAAGAAGAAGAAGAAGAAGATCATCTTACTTAACTGTCTAATCGAATTTTTTTTAAACCAGAAGCAATTGAGCATAGATTATTTGGCTCAGTGTTTGTGAGCATCGAAGTCATGAACACCGTCTGGGGAGCTGGGCTTTTCTGCCGGACACACATGGGGATTGTCACCCGACGTCCAACGCGCCATCAGTTACGTTGGAGCACTGGGCTGTCTGGTTGTTTGAACTTGTGTTGGAATTAACCCGGTATAGAGACTTTTTCACGCGACCTAGGACTTCTATCACGGTAACTTTGCTTCTTAAATTCAACATCGGCAATCAGTGACAACTCATGTCACGATTATGTGTAAGCTGGCAGCATTGATGCCAAAAGATCAGGGAGAACGACGAAGCGATAAATCTCTAGAGAGGTTTGTCGTATCCGTCGGGCGAGACAATAACGCTGACCTGATGGTGATTCTGGTGGTAGTAGGAGTCGAAGGGGTGTGGGGAAGAGCAACTGATAGTGATATTCCGATGGCTAATTAGACACGCTTCTTCTTCCATTTCTAACTCTTGTCTTTCAGCTTTTCGCACAAAAGAACAAATTTAGGCTGTCTTTCATCTGTTTTTATCCTGGTACCACATTTCCCCCCTTCTTGGTGAACCTTTTCATGGGCATTTTCTTCCAGAAAAGCCCAGGTTCATTGTAGGTGAAAACTTGTTCTGGTCATGTGACCATCTGACCAATCCGTTTCTGATATTCCTTCATATAACTTTCAAGCGGCATTTTTGAGAGCAATAGCACCTCTTCCGTTTCTAACAATCACTGGATATCGGTTCTATTCTTGAATCTCTTAAACCATCCTTTGCTAGATTTTAACTCTTCACCAATGTCTTTCCTACGGGTAGTGGGTGGCAAGTGGATGGCGATAGATGTCTATAAATATCTTGAGCTTTTAAACAAATCATATTTTGAGGTACACTATCTGTTTTCAGTTGAATGTCAATAATCTGGACGAGTAGTAAAGTTTACATTTCTTTCATAACTTTTTTTCTTTGAGATGACATGGTAGATACTCCTTTGGCCACATCCAATTCCTATAAGAGATTTGCTTTCTAGGTAGCCGTAGCTATGGTGGATTTGAAAAAGTTATACTGTTTGTAGAAATCAGTTTGCCTGACTTCTTTCTCATGTTTTTTGCTCAGTCTCTATGTCAGTTTCAATTGTGATTTTATTCTTCGCTTCTTTCTTACATTTGTGTACTTGTCCTCAAATAACGCCTTTGATATTTAGGCACCATTATTTTCTTTGATATTATTATTATTTATGTCTTCCCACCATTCAAGTCGACACCAATTTTATCACTTTCTAGCACCATGACATCTTTCAATTCATGTAGTCTTTCTGACGTCACTACTAAAACGGTGTCATCAGCATAATGAAGGCTGTTAATGTTATGACCACCAACCACAATTAGCGAAATATTCAAGATAGATCTCATTATATAAAATTGATAATATATGTGAAACAACCATTAAATGTATACACCGTTACTTTTAAAGAAAGTAAAATAAAAAATGTATGTGTCAGCAATTACATTGAAAAAAAATTACTATACGTGGTTAGAAGAGCTCTTTTACTCTTCTTAGAAAATTATTGATAAGAGGGGGCTGAGCTACACCCCCCCCCCCCCCCCCCCCCACCTACCCCCTTTAAATAATTAATTGGCGCCTACGTAAACAACCTTAAACAGCCGCCTCCAGTAAATAAAAACGGTCTTTCTAAAAATTTAGGTTTGTAGCCACTGTATTGTTTATCTTCTTCTTCTTCTTCTTCTTCTTCTTCTTCTTCTTCTTCTTCTTCTTCTTCTTCTTCTTCTTCTTCTTCTTCTTCTTCTTCTTCTTCATCTTCTTCTTCTTCTTCCTCTTCTTCTTCTTCCTCTTCCTCTTCTTCTTCTTCTTCTTCTTCTTCTTCTTCTTCTTCTTCTTCTTCTTCTTCTTCTTCTTCTTCTTCTTCTTCTTCTTCTTCTTCTTCTTCTTCTTCTTCGCGTTCACCAGCTGTAAACTCCGGCGGAAAGTTCTGGTTGTTCGCCCACCTTTGGACGTTAGCCTTGTTCCAGAACCTGAGTGTTGCTTGTACATCCGTTTTACAGATCTGATTTATTTGTATGCATATTCTTGGTTCCTTGCGCTCCGGCAGATGCACTCCGACTACGAAGGAAGCACCCAATTAGTCGACTCTTACGACACAGAACCCATCAAGGATTTATTGCTTATGCTACCACTATCACCACACAGTCAGACAACTTCCAGTAAGGGCAAAAGCTTAGCTATCTTCTGTACAGTTCTTCGTAGAACCAGAACCGCGAAGGCCCATATGCTTTGTGCATGTCGAATGATGGATCGGTCCGTGTAAGTAACTACTCCTCCGTCAGCAGAATTTACAAGAATTAAGGCTTGAACTTCCGCCTCCACCACCAAGGAAAATTGTTATGCTGACTGAAAAGGTTGTACACCACTTTGCTTGCGATCGCGCCCATTCCTTCTACCCTTCTTTCTACGAATGGCGCTGTGCAGTTAATGTGTGTCGGAGCTGACACATAGATACGCACATGCACGGCAGACCGCTATTCTTACTTCACTTGTTGGAAGATCAAGGATCGCTCTGTCTGCCGTGTTCTTTTTGCTGAAAAAAATTGAAAAATAGTTTCGGTTCAGATGCACGAAACTCCGTAGCACCGACAACTATCTTGAGAAGAAGTGACATCTAAAAGGTGTCAGTACTCACCACTGTCTGTTAGAGGAACGCTGAACAAATTATGGCTAACAAAGATGATGGTACTGGTAATCTGGTAATCCTAGTTTCAGCTTCATAGCAAACGGGTCACCCCATAGTTGCTCCGCTCCTGTGCCAACGAAAAATACACGTAGCTCACAGTGTCACGCCATGCACTCAACTCAGAAGCTGGGCGACGAAACTATATCCTTCCAGTCTACAAATGGAGCAAAAATGCAACGGCCACCGTCTGGCAGAAAAAAAAGGTGGCTGTGCCTAGCGTCCATTTTGACCTGAAGCATTATATGAGGGTTTAAACGGTCACCCAGCAGTACCCTCATTATTAGCTGGGGAAGGGACTTAGGACATTACATCCACCAGCAGGCGTCCCGCTTACAACGACCTTCCTGCCATCGTTAACGACTGTTCACCCAACAGCCATGCAGTTCTTTGGCACGAAGGAGACACCTTGAACTTGGGTTTCGGACTGCCGACTCCCTACAAGATGTTATTTTATGTTTTGTTATCACACTTGATGTCACTGCACATTGGGCATACACATGTTCTCCGAAGCAGCAGCCACTCCAAAGTACTTCTACTAATTGTCCCCATGAGAAGCTGGTTATATCGTCTCCTTTCTCGGCCCCAAAGACGGCAAAGACGTGCATCCCCATGCTTAACTCCCATGTCACGCAATCGTGTTAGTGTCAGGGATTCCTCATTCTCCACTAGCCCAGTTCGTACAGCGTTGACGATATCTGCCCTGTCCATGCTTTTTCCCGCAATCATTGGTGCAGTGCTTGCCAGTTGGTTCGTTCGCTCATCTCCCTTTACGCCCGCATGACCCGTGGTGTAGATCCCTCCAAACGTAGATCCATTGTACTGAGTATATCCAGAAAGAAAGCCCGGCGAGGTAGCACTGGGACCCACCGTGGTGTAGCGACTAGACGCTTATCTGTGGATCCGAAGGTAGTGTGTTCAAATCTGAGCTTTACGTTTTGGAAAATGAGATTGGCTCCTAGGTTAATTAAATGTGTACCAGGTATAATCCTGGGAAGTAAAGGTGGCCGATGTGATGTTGACTAAATCACCCACCGAGTGCTAGTTTGTCTATAACAGTGGTCTCTAATCTTGTTCAGTGCCCCCTCCCTGGAGACATGATAAGACTTCACGACCCCCTCCCTGGAGACATGATAAGACTTCACGACCCCCTCCCCGAAGACATGATAAGACTTCACGACCCCTCCCTGAAGACACGAAACACTTCACGGTCCCCTCCTCTAAGATAGCTAAATGTGATTTTCAGTAATTGTGTGTCCTCATATCAATGTGATGGCTGACTCTGTTTTTTTCTGAGATCTGATACGTTTGGTCTGAAAATCCAGATTATTACAAGCAGAAATACGTTAATTTTAAAATTGCTGCACGCCCAATTTGAAACTAGGTTGGAGACCACTGGTCTCTAAAATATAGGTCTAGCCCTATATACCCAAAGCGCTTGAAGGCGTGGAAATAAGCAGCAGCAGAAACACAAATATTTGTAATCCAATCCAGGTAAATATCAATCCTATCCTAATTTATGGCAGCGGATCGAAATGAACTTCCGGTTTTCATTTTAAAGGTGAAGTCGCGTTTGGACATCGCCGTCTCGGATATTTTATTTCTAGGAGCAATCTGAGAAGTCTCGACCATGGGGGCAGAGGATGAAGTCTTGAAAATCGGCAAGAAGCTGGATAAACTCATTTCAAGTGATACGACAGTAAGTTTTGTTGTGCTGCAATCAAATACAATAGAGTTCAGTAAACAGTCAACTACTGCGCTGCATCGCCTGGCGTCTTCACAGTTTGATTGTGGCGGTTCTGTTGTTTTGTTTTGGTTTCTCTACTATTATCTAGCAGTGTGTGTCGCTCTTTTTTAGTTGCAGCATTCTCAATTTCCACAAAGATCTCTCGTTTTGACTGTCACTTTTGACTGGGCATAAGCCAGCAATGGAGTCTAAATCTCACCAAAGCCAGGAAAGATCATAGCCGATAGATCATAGTAGGGATTCTTGAATGAATAATATAATAATAAATAATGGAACTCTAAACTGGCTCATTTCCTAGTAGTAACTTAAAAAAATTTGTATAATTTGAAGGTACTTCCAGCCCAGCCGTAGCTGTTTTACTTGCTTGTGACTGGACAATTTTCCCTCCTTTTTTTTCCAGTTTGCTTGCCTATACATTATTACCTTTTAATTTGACCATCTCAAAATTAGAGCACGTCTCGGCACACACATGTGTGGTCTAGTGTCGGACAAGGCACAACAGAGATCACTTCACTCTCCTCATCAGTTTGGCAGCACTGTTTTGTTTTCCTGCCATCAAAGCTGAAAACCAGATGATTACAAGTAGAATGCCTTTCAAAATTTCTTGACATCCCTCTTGAAACTTCCTCCCAGGCTAGAGACCACTTGTCTATAAATTATAGGTGTCTATAAATTATAGGTCTAACCCTATATACCCAGCTACACCTGTGAGATCATTGACTATTAATTTAGAACTAATCGTTCAGTCATGTGGGTTCTAGAGCCCCATTTGGGTGGGGGAGGTTGGGTAATACACACTGCCCATCTTAACAAGCATGTCGTGAGAAGCAACTTATTAAGGACTTGCTGAAATCAAATGTTTTTTGGGTTGAAAGGTGCAGATATCACATGCTGGCTGTAAACCACAACACAATGAACCAACCACTATTTTAAAGACAAATAAATAAGATTCAGTTGGAAGTAGGCAACCACCAACATGAAACTGTTATAAACCATATATTATATTCCAGTGATCACTGAATTCCTGTGTTCCAGTACCATCCTTGCAATTTCTGGGTTTTCAGAGGACAGGGAATGAGAGCCGTGGACAGGGAATGAGAGCCGGGGACAGGAAAAGAGAGCCGGGGACAGGGAAAGAGAGCCGGGGACAGGGAAAGAGAGCCGGGGACAGGGAAAGAGAGCCAAGGACAGGGAAAGAGAGCCAAGGACAGGGATGATCCGGGGACAGAGAAAGAGAGCCAGGGACAGGAAAAGAGAGCCGGGGACAGGAAAAGAGTGCCGGGGACAGGAAAAGAGAGCCGGGGACAGTGAAAGAGAGCCGTGGAAAGAGTTTCCTCATCAGTGCCTCCGACTGAACATTGGATTTGGGGTTGAAGGTGGAGGACTGCGTGCAGAGTACTGGGTTTGTTGTAGTGGAAAGCAGGGCTGCCGAACATTGTTTGGGAGTAGTATCAAATCTTTTTTGTAAAGGTACCAAAACACATGAAGGTACCTCATTGTTAATTTGAAAACCGTTCAAATGTCATTAAAAAAAAAAAAAAAAAGCCACACATCCATAACTTTCTTACTTTGTTTTGATCAGAAATTAAACTGTCCATTGCATCATTGCTGTATCATTTATTTTTTGGCTCAGTGTGTTACACAGCTGTTCTGGCTTTTTCCAGTTGGGTGCAGTTAATGTCCTAAAACCATTACTTTGATCTCATCAATGCATTTATTGTTAAAGTCTTCAAAGAAGAGTTATTTAACCAAAATTGTAATATTGTTAAGGGGAGAGAAAGCTCACTTGTACCAAAACATCAGATTTGGTAAGAGGAGTAAAATGTTGCTCGGCAAGGCTCGAGCTCTAGGTGCTTCCTCCTAACAAGCATGTCATAAGTGAAGACTAATCATAGATGTTTCCTTTAAAGTTAAAATGCATGTGCCTAAGAGGTAAGGAACCAACAGTCTGCATACAAATAAACTCATTAAACAAAAACCAGTTTTGTAAAGCTGATGTGCATGCAAAACTCAAGTTCTGGGGCAAGATTTAAGCCCAAAAGTGGATGAATAACCAGAACTTTTTGCTGGAGTACATGAACAAGAAGTTAGCTGATGTTGAAACCAAGGCTTATAATACTGTTAAACTGTTAATGCACCTTCAGAGTTTTCAGCTGAACATTGTCTAGGCACAAATCTGGTACTTTTTTACCCACGGAAATTACAGGTTGACATCTTATTTGCAGCTATGGCTTCTTCATCATCATCATCATCATCATCATCACACACTGTCATCCGGAAAGATGGAAGGCAACCAGACCATCATCCTGATGGGCTGTTCTACATCACTTAGGGCTTACAGTCTAGTCTTCTAGTTTGGTCCATCCTGTACAATCCTCTCTGTGTAGTGGATGGTATCCAGTCTGCTAGAATCCTCTCTGTGTAGTGGATGGTATCCAGTCTTCTACAATCCTCTCTGTGTAGTGGAGGGTATCCATTCTGGTGCCCCTGGCCTCTCTCAACAGCATTCATCTCAGCGTTTCTCTTGGAGGTCCTTGTCTTAGTCTTGTTTCCCATTTCAGTGCCTCATTTTTTCCTTATAATGTGCCCAGTAAAAGCCATCTCCTTTGTTGTACAGTTGCCACCAGTGGTTGGCCAGGTAGGCTGGCTTACAGGCCTGTTAACCGGGTGAGTAGTTTCTGACTTGTTGCCAATGAGCCAAGACCATCTCCAGACTTTGCATCAGTTTCATTTTCCTCTGGATGGGAAGGTTTCATTTGGGGATTTATTATGGTTATCCTGAAATTCTGGATCAGGTAAAAAAAAATGTTTTTGCTTGTAATTTCCTGACAGGATCATGCTACAGCTTTGGATCTGTTAAAGGCACTGAGGGACACAAAGATGACTTTACATGTCCTGCAGGTGAGCCCTATTTTCTCGTCTGAATTTCCTGAAGCACACATAGAATATGTCATTCTATGGAAGCATTGATCCTTTAGAGAAAATACAAAAGGTTATGGTGATAAAAAAAAAAATATGACTTCATTCTGAACATTACTGCGAAGTTTGCGCAGTGAAGCCTGATGTGTAGGCCAAAAGGTACAAAAATCACAGTTTTGCTGAAAACAAGCACAACACATTTGTATCACTCAAATAAATAAAAAGAAGATTTTCCTAGTAGTTATGTATGTGGGATTCCAGATGGTATTATTTTGTTATCACTCCTCTTTTATCTTAACATGAAAAGAAGCATCTGATCTTGTTTGTGAGATGTGTTGCCATAATTACACATATTGTCTTAATTGATTTGCCTAAGATCAGTGCAGCCTTCTTTGGGGAATCACCAGACGTCCACGTTTGTGAGTGATCCTTTTCTGTCTCACAGATCCACATTCCTGTTTGTATGATGGTGCTTCAGATGAAGCTCTTAAGAGTTTATCATATAAATTGTCAATAACCATGCACTGTCACATAACCTATCAGTATTGTTATTATGTCAAGAGTGTTAAGCATGTGACATCAAAGTGTAGACACATACAGATGGCCACCACACTTTTGGCATGCACCAAAGAGAAGCAGCATTCTATTATCAGTTTGTTTAAATCAGTAAAGGGTGAAATCTGTCAAAATTCATTGCCAAATGAAGTTCAGTTTTGTGATGCTTGTCTGTTAGTCCAGCATATTGTGTTATGTTATGAAAGAATATAGCCAACAGACTCACAACATGTAACTTTTGCTGTCTGAAACAGAAAACACGGATTGGGATGACTGTGAACAATCTGCGTAAGGCAAGCAACAACGATGAAGTGGTGACTCTGTCAAAGACACTTATTAAAAACTGGAAGAAACTTTTGCCTGCAGGTATTTGCCTTCAGAATGTCTGTGTGTTTATATAATCTTATTGGTGTGTCTATGTGTCTACTGTACATGACATGATCTCACTGGTGTCTATGTGTCTACTGTACATGACATGATTTCATTGGTGTGTCTGTGTCTACTGTACATGACATGACCTCATTGGTGTGTCTCTACTGTACATGACATGATCTCATTGGTGTGTCTGTGTCTACTGTACATGACATGATCTCATTGATGTGTCTACTGTACATGACATGATCTCATTGATGTGTCTACTGTACATGACATGATCTCATTGATGTGTCTACTGTACATGACATGATCTCATTGATGTGTCTACTGTACATGACATGATCTCATTGGTGTGTCTACTGTCATACTGTATTGATGACTACTGATCTCATTGATGTCTCTGACATGTCATTGATGTGTCTACTGTACATGACATGATCTCATTGATGTGTCAACTGTACATGATGATCTCATTGATGTGTCTACTGTACATGACATGATCTCATTGATGTGTCTCTGTGTCTACTGTACATGACATGATCTCATCATGTGTCTGTGTGTCATGACATGATCTGTCTACTGTACATGACATGACATGATCTCATTGATGTCTCATTGATGTGTCTACTGTACATGACATGATCTCTCATTGACTGTACTCTGATGTCTACTGTACACATGACATGATCTCATGACATGACCTCATTGATGTGTCTGTCTGACATGATCTCATTGGTGTGTCTGTACTTACATGATGTTTTGATTGTGATACTCACATGACATGATGCAGTAAGTACATGACACATCTCATTGAACTGACTATAGCCAGAGAATGCAGTAAGTAGACACACTGGATAGCTGATCTGAATGCTGATCAGATCATTACCTCATAGAACATCAGAATAGTGATGCAGTGGATTCCAGGCCACTCCGGCACACCAGGTAATGACAGACTGGCAAAGAAAGGAGCAACACAAGAGCAACCACCTTCAGCGAGAACCCTACAGACAGCAAAAGCGCTTATAAGAGCTATAAGCAAAGAGACTTGGCTGAACAGATGGGCCATGGGAGACACTGGAAGAGAGGTTTATAGACATATGGCTGGCCCTGATCCTAATGACAGCATTACCCATCTAACAAGAAGGGACCAGGCCACCATCTTCAGACTCAGAACACATACTCCACTCAATGGACATCTAAACAGAATACAGCCACAACACTCCCCAGAGTGCCAGCTATGTAACTACCCCTACGAAACTGTTGAACACCATCTCTTTGAGTGCCCAAAACTCAGCGAGACTAGAAGAATGCTACTCCCTCTGAGACCAGACAAGAGGAACACCTTGTACGGAGGAAAAGAACAGCTTGTGAAAGCACGCAAATTCCACTACATGGCATTGGGCCAGAGGGCGAAAGCTCATGTGCCACTGGATCGATAACAAGCTATTGCACATGCTCAGTTTCAAAATGTCAAAAAGCAACCCACATGTTTTGGCATATGCGATTCTGGTATGCTTACATTAGGATCCTTGCAAGAACTGTTGTGATTGTGTAGTGTGCTGAGTTTCAGCTTGCACAATCTTTAGAGAGAGGCTTGAGGAACTTTAACCCAAAACCGAGAAAATGATGTAGCAGCCCAAATTCTCACTGTACCATATGAAAAATATATTCTGCATTTGAGTGTGTGTTTATTACTATGAAAGGATAACACAATTCTTCTGTACTGGACTATGAAAGGCCAGGATTTGGGATATTTTCTTGTGTTTGTGAAAGTATACCTTGGTTGTAAATGTTACATATGTTCTTTATTGTCCTTAATAATTTGAGTGTGGTTGAGAAAACCATGGGGAATACTGAACCTCTCATGTGTAACTGTTCATGAATGCTCCGAGCCAAACATCCTGTACTAAATACTTTGTCCTCCTAATATAGAGAGACTGCACTGCTGCCACTGGTCCAGACCTAATTCACCCTCTGTGTGCAGCTGTTTCTTTTCCAATACTCATCATGCAAACCCAACTGACTTACATTGAAGAGGTGAAGGAGACCACTGAAGAAGGAGATTACTGAAGAGTTGAAGGAGATCACTGAAAAGTTGAAGGAGATCACTGAAGAGTTGAAGGAGATCACTGAAGAGTTGAAGGAGACCACTGAAGAAGGAGATTACTGAAGAGTTGAAGGAGATCACTGAAAAGTTGAAGGAGACCACTGAAGAAGGAGATCACTGAAGAGTTGAAGGAGACCACTGAAGAAGGAGATCACTGAAGAGTTGAAGGAGACCACTGAAGAAGGAGATCACTGAAGAGTTGAAGGAGATCACTGAAAAGTTGAAGGAGATCACTGAAGAGTTGAAGGAGATCACTGAAGAGTTGAAGGTGATCACTGAAGAGTTGAAGGTGATCACTGAAGAGTTGAAGGAGATCAGTGAAGAGTTGAAGGAGACCATTGAAGAGTTGAAGGAGACCATTGAAGAGTTGAAGGAGACCACTGAAGAGTTGAAGGAGACCACTGAAGAGTTGAAGGAGAGCACTGAAGAGTTGAAGGAGAGCACTGAAGAGTTGAAGGAGACCACTGAAGAGTTGAAGGAGACCACTGAAGAGGTGAAGGAGATCACTGAAGAGGTGAAGGAGATCACTGAAGAGTTGAAGGAGACCACTGAAGAGGTGAAGGAGACCACTGAAGAGGTGAAGGAGACCATTGTAGAGGTGAAGGAGATCATTGAAGAGGTGAAGGAGATCACTGAAGAGGTGAAGGAGATCATTGAAGAGTTGAAGGAGATCACTGAAGAGGTGAAGGAGATCATTGAAGAAGTGAAGGAGATCACTGAAGAGGTGAAGGAGATCACTGAAGAGTTGAAGGAGATCATTAAAGAGTTGAAGGAGATCACTGAAGAGGTGAAGGAGATCATTGAAGGGGTGAAGGAGACCATCGACATCAGAAGAGCACTATTCAATATAAAAAATATTTTAATCAGCATTTTGTTACCATTGCCAAACATGGACACTAACAACAAAGGTAACCAGTAACTTTGAAACAGCAGAAATAAGGCATTGGCTACATAGCACATACCAAGCACCCAATATGACTTCAGCACCTAGTGCTAGAAGGCAGAACAGTTCTGGCAAAGAAGGTGAAAGAGTCACAGTGGAGATGAAACTGCGGTACCAGGTCAAAGGAAAGTCTCTTTGACATCTCCACTGTATGTATAGATGCACATTGGGGCATCATTGTATCAGACTTGTGAGTTAAATACTCAGTCTTTATGAGGATTATGGACATGTGACATAGTGGTCACAGATGTCATAATTGTGTTAATAAAACGGTCAGAAGTAGAGAAATAAAACTTTCAGGCCATTGTCTGTTGTTCTGTATATTCATGTGATCTGTAGAGTTCTCCATGTGAGTTCCAGGGCCCTAATGTAGGGAAATCAAGAATAGACCCACTGCCTCTTCAATAAGAGTCATCTTACTGGGGGCTTCCTTTGAAGTCAGAGTGCATCTGCCCGAGCGGCAAGGTACAACCAACTGCAACCAGATCAGCAGTAAAACGGTTGTAAACACAAATCACAGGCCCTGGCACAAAGCCAGTGTCCATATGGACGAAACAGTCAGGACATTTCCACTGGAGCTTACAGTCGTGAAAAAAAGAAGATTTGTAGAATTTCTTCTTGATCAGTGTCCTGACAGGATGGTGCTAATGAAATAGTCAAAAGTAATGAATGAGCACATTTTGTATTGAGCTGTGAGTTTATGTGGTCTGTAGTTTGGACTTGATTGATGTCTTAACAGATAGCCCAGGTGGTCTGAGTCGGTCTACGTCACGGTCATCTGGTGACTCCAGCAGTCAGAGAATGGATGAGACATCAAATGATGGCGCAGACGAAGGCAGGAGTGACACGGACAAGCAAGAGGGTTCCAACAAGCCTCACAATACAACAGACGCTGTCCGCATTAAATGCAGGGAGCTGATGTCTGCAGCACTGAAGTGTAGCGGTGAGGCTCATCATCATCATCATGTGTCTGGTCAGCTTCTGTGGGTGTTCCTGTCTGTCCACAAATCTTAGTCGTAGGTGTCCTGCATCCATGCCCCTGTCTCAGACACTCTGACATCATGTCTGTCTCTATCTCTCTCTCTGCCTGTATCTCTTCTTCCATTAAACTTGCCAGTCATTACTGTATTAAGCATTGCCTTTTATGCCATTACATCACTAAATACCATAGCTTTTCTCTTCTACCAGTTGTATATAATATTCTGCTTTCTTAAGCCTTTTTTGGGGGGCAAGCCATGCTCAGTACTCTGACTATACAAGGTAGTATCAACATTTTCCATTTTTTTTTAAATTGTATAAACTGTATCTCCGCTGTTGCAAGCCTTCTGAATTTTTTCACTGACATTCTAAGATTCCTGCCAAACCCGAGGACCGGTTCGGCATAAAATGTCACTGGTTTCTGACATTCACACTGAAAAGTGATTTAACACTTATTCACAGAAATGTGGTACATACAGACAATTTTAATGTTGTTAAATACAGCTTTTGCCTGCACTTGGACAATAAGCAGACAAATTACTGGCAGCCGTGATTTTGTCTGTGTGTTGTGAACAGTGGAAAAGATTTCATTGACTGATAGAAATTGACAGAGGAGGCAGCCCTCCTCGGGGCAGATGAAAACCAGTGAAATGATTCGATCGATGTGAACATTGTGTTTAGGACATGTTATGACTTGGTAGCCTACTGATAAGATTGATGAGGGAAAAAGCCAGAGGAAGGCAAAAAGATAAATACCTAGATAGGTTGGTCGTACGGATGAGGCTAGACAAGAACATTGACTTGATCCCTGATTCTCATGATCATGTGAGATAGTGAAATATGAACGCCTGCGCCTGTTGGCACGTCACATGTTGTCAAGTATCTGGTCTGTATTTAAGATCTTTGACGTCTGCATATTTATTCCAGAAATACCAGAGGGAACCCATGATCCTGACGAGCTGGCAGCTTCAATTGAAGATGGTATGTCTTTGTACATGTGATTGTATGTGTGCATATTGTTGAGTCGAGTTCTGTCAGGTGTTTAATGTGTCTGTATGTGTGCATATTGTTGAGTCGAGTTCTGTCAAGTGTTTAATGTGTCTGTATGTGTCCATATTGTTGAGTCAAGTTCTGTCAGGTGTTTATGCACATCACTTGTATCTGTTTATGTATTTTTGTGTATGCCTCACTTGATAAGCTTACAGGTTCACAACACTGACAGCACTGCTTCTCATAATCTACAGACATTGTCAGGCAAGCAGTTTTCAGCCACATTTACATCCACTACGGCTAATTCTTTCAGACGAGTTTTGAAAATTTTTATTATGGACCCCAAAGTATGAACAGCAATTTTAATTCAATATATTCTATTTAACTACCAGAATATGATTTCTTTGTGCACCTGAACAAGAAAAGTTGCCTTTGTGGAAAATGCTTTTTTCTTTTCTTTGGCTGAGCAGCTGTGAATTCTGGCGGAAAGTTCTTCTTATTTCCCACCTCTAGAGTTTAGTCTTGTTCCAGAATTTGAGAGTTGCATGCACATTTGTTTTACACATCTTGCTTATTTGCATGCAGACTCTTGGTTCCTTGCCTCTCAGTTAGATGCATTTAGACTTCAAGGGGACACACACACATACCCCACCCCCAATTAATAAACTGTCACGATATGCCTGTTATGGGGACAGTAGGTCTGTAGTTTCTTTAGTTTTTCCCACACTGGTGCCCCGGAACCCACACTGGGTGTGACATAATGAGGGACAACTTCTTTGTCCCAGGTTATCCCATATCACTTGGTTTCTCTACAGAATCGATGGCTAGTTGCCTGTCGGGAGCACAGACAAACTTGAGTATAAGGTGCTAGCTGCCTATTTGTCTAGAGTAGTCAGCACTTGATAGTTACTGTGATCAGTAACACACTGGCTACCTTTCTTTTCCCTAGCATTTCCAGATTGGATCAAGCTGGGAGGTGATGCAAGCTTTAAGAAAAAAATCTGACTTCATAGATTCGACCCAGTTAACGCTGACTTGATAGAGATTTGACCCAGTTAACGCTGACTTGATAGAGATTTGACCCAGTTAACGCTGACTTTATAGAGATTTGACCCAGTTAACGCTGACTTGATAGAGATTCGACCCAGTTAACGCTGACTTGATAGAGATTTGACCCAGTTAACGCTGGGTGAACTTTGAAGGGGTATATAATGCTTGGTTCCAATTTGATTGGCCATATGGCATTCAGATTGCTTCTTGTTTTTCAGCTGGTTTTGTGAAAACCCCATAACATATGCTTTTGCTAATTAACTCTTTGTGAAGTCATTTCATGCTTTTGCCTGAAGCTGTTTTGTTATAAAGTCATAGAATTGAACTCATCTGTTATAACTTAACCAATACAGCTATCTTTGAGGAATTTGGCAACACAGACATGAAATACAAAAATCGGGTGAGAAGCCGAGTGGCCAACTTGAAGGACTCTAGAAATCCTCAGCTTCGACAGAACGTACTCATTGGCTTGATTTCTGCCCGGAAGATAGCCTCCATGACAGCAGAGGTATTGTTGATTGTGTTAGTCTGTTAATTAGTTAATTGCAGTTTCAGCGTCACCTCCAAAGTTTCTCCACTCCTGTGCCATCAAAAACCACATAAAATGCCCATCCATTGCTTTTCTTTGTGAAATAATTAAAACAGACTGCAGTCTAAGTACAGCCAACAGCACCCGTTTGCATTAATGAAATCAGCCAGCCATCAGAAGTGCCAGCACAAACATTCTGCCGCTAGAATTGCAGCTCATCATTGCTGAAAGCAGCAGTTACAGCATATCAGTAGTTACCCACGCAGAATCACCGCCAGTTCAGTGTAAGAGGCCACTTGTCATTTTTTAAAGCTGCTGTTCACAACACAAACCACAATTGTCAATGTCAGTCTATGTGTGCTGTCCCTGTCATGGCTTTACTGTAGTTTAGCATTTTACAGATTTTGGCCCACATCATGATTACTGAACTTGCACCTAAGGACTTGTTCAGTGTCAGTCACTTGCCGTGGTTGCCACTTAGCCATTTAAGGACTTGTTCAGTGTCAGTCACTTGCCGTGGTTGCCACTTAGCCACCTAAGGACTTGTTCAGTGTCAGTCACTTGCTGTGGTTGCCAATTAGCCATTTAAGGACTTGTTCAGTGTCAGTCACTTGCCGTGGTTGCCACTTAAGGACTTGTTCAGTGTTAGTCACTTGCCGTGGTTGCCACTCAGGACTGGTTCCATGTAAATCACTTCCAGTGAACTGATGATTTTCTGATCAGTGCGGCTATGGGGTTAACACATTTAAATAATATCAGGTTCGATAAAGTTGATTGCACACTTTAAAGGGAATCGTAAACCAGGCTTAGCATTTTCAGCATTTTCTTTGAAAAGAAAATGGGAAGAAAAGGGGTCTACTAGCTGACCACATGCTAGGGACTAACATTTCACATCTATGTGTCGGTCTTTACATTTCTTATAGTAACAGCAAGAGTAGAGTGGGCACAGGTTACACACTGTTTAAACAAGAAAAACATAGTTGTCCACTTGTGAGTTTTTAAATTAGTTTACGTGGAAGCCATAACACCTAAAAATTGCCAGTGACTCAGATGCAGAAGAACTGGTGAATGGTTGATCCTTAAGATATTAAATTTTTTTTTTTTTAACAGTTTCACTCATTAAAATGCAAAGATTGAGATTTTGAAAATCAAAATTATGTTTCTTTCAGTAAGTCCTGTGTGGTAGATTTTCTCAGTATAGTGCAAGTCTTTGAAACGCCGTCCCTTATAGCTTCTTGCTGTCAGATCAAAAGTTCAGATTGTATTTTCATTTCGCTGCTTATGCCCTCTTCCACCCTCAAAGTGCCATCTGTCAGTATCATACCACAGCACGGCCCTGCTTTCAGCAGCTATGATTCCTGTTGTTTATTTCATTTGTTTTGTTTTGTGTAGTATATAATAGCTGGAACATAATAGTGCTTAGTTGAACTTACACTTGACTGTGATTATGTTATAGATAGTTGAACTTACACTTGACTGTGATTATGTTATAGATAGTTGAACTTACACTTGACTGTGATGTTATCTGAACTGAAAGATGGATGGATGTTATAGAGAGAACTTACACTTGACTGTGATTATGTTATAGATAGTTGAACTTACACAGGACAAATCCATGCTATAGATAGATCGCTTAGATTGTGGTGATTATGTTTGCCAGATAGTTGAACTTACACTTGACTGATTATGATAGATAGCTGAAACTAGGAAAGTTAGGAACTGTGATTAGTACATATAGAATAGTTGAACTTACACTTGACTTTGAGTTTTTGATTATGGGGAGTTTGTGTGATTAGTTATGGAGTTGAACTTACACTTGACTGTGATTATGTTATAGATAGTTGAACTTACACTTGACTGTGATTATGTTATAGATAGTTGAACTTATACACTGTGTGTTATAGATAGTTGAACTTACACTTGAGCTGTGATTATGTTATAGATAGTTGAACTTACACTGACTGTGATTATGTTATAGATAGTTGAACTTACACTTGACTGTGATTATGTTATAGATAGTTGAGACTGTGATTATGTTATAGATAGTTGAACTTACACTTGACTGATTATGTTATAGATAGTTGAACTTACACTTGACTGTGATTATGTTATAGATAGTTGAACTTACACTTGACTGTGATTATGTTATAGATAGTTGAACTTACACTTGACTGTGATTATGTTATAGATAGTTTCACTGTGATTATGTTATAGATAGTTGAACTTACACTTGACTGTGATTATGTTATAGATAGTTGAACTTACACTTGACTGTGATTATGTTATAGATAGTTGAACACTTGACTGTGATTATGTTATAGATAGTTGAACTTACACTTGACTGTGATTATGTTATAGATAGTTGAACTTACACTTGACTGTGATTATGTTATAGATAGTTGAACTTACACTTGACTGTGATTATGTTATAGATAGTTGAACTTACACTTGACTGTGATTATGTTATAGATAGTTGAACTTACACTTGACTGTGATTATGTTATAGATAGTTGAACTTACACTTGACTGTGATTATGTTATAGATAGTTGAACTTACACTTGACTGTGATTATGTTATAGATAGTTGAACTTACACTTGACTGTGATTATGTTATAGATAGTTGAACTTACACTTGACTGTGATTATGTTATAGATAGTTGAACTTACACTTGACTGTGATTATGTTATAGATAGTTGAACTTACACTTGACTGTGATTATGTTATAGATAGTTGAACTTACACTTGACTGTGATTATGTTATAGATAGTTGAACTTACACTTGACTGTGATTATGTTATAGATAGTTGAACTTACACTTGACTGTGATTATGTTATAGATAGTTGAGACTGTGTAGTTGAACTTACACTTGACTGATTACTTACACTTGACTGTGATTATGTTATAGATAGTTGAACTTACACTTGACTGTGATTATGTTATAGATAGTTGAACTTACACTTGACTGTGATTAGTTGAACTTATAGATAGTTGAAGTTGAACTTACACTTGACTGTGATTATGTTATAGATAGTTGAACTTACACTTGACTGTGATTATGTTATAGATAGTTGAACTTACACTTGACTGTGATTATGTTATAGATAGTTGAACTTACACTTGACTGTGATTATGTTATAGATAGTTGAACTTACACTTGACTGTGATTATGTTATAGATAGTTGAACTTACACTTGACTGTGATTATGTTGAAACTTACACTTGACTGTGATTATGTTATAGATAGTTGAACTTACACTTGACTGTGATTATGTTATAGATAGTTGAACTTACACTTGACTGAGGTGATTATGTGATTATGTTATAGGTAGTTGAACTTACACTTGACTGTGATTATGTTCTAGTTAGATAGTTTCATGAACTTACACTTGACTGTGATTATAGTTATAGACTTCCAGTTAATTTCTGATGTTATATTTTGCTTTATTTTGTTACTAATTCTCCCACTTTTGCATATTTTAAAAAATAAACCATAAATGAAAAGTCAGCATTGAAACACCATCTCTTTTTTAAAATATATAAATATTTTTTCCAGAGCCACTGATATTATTTGACTATTTATTCAGTATTTTTGGTGATTCCCCCCCCACCCCCCGACATATTTTTGTGAGGCAGTGTGGTGAAAATTCCTCAAGCAAGAATCGTCTAGTAACATTAGCAGGGTCTGGGTTCCAGGATCCCAGTTTATGGGGGACAAATAAATGGACCCCCTGCCCCTGACAAGCATGTTGGGAAAGGCAGCTAGTTAAGAGTTAGCTGAAATCGGATGTGTCCGCCACGGGCCCTTGAATTGACCCTTTCACTCCTTGAAAGGATATTGCGTTTATCTAGAAATTATTCTTCTCTTGTGGCCTTCTGATGTCTCTTGTTTGAGAAATGTTTTTTCCAAACTCTGTTACAAATCCTCTGACAGCCTGTCTATCAACTGTTCTGCATTGGCCAGTCCCTGACAAACCTTATTCACAGCATTGTTAAGGAGGGTCAGTGTGTGTTTAGTATTGTGGGGGGAGGGGGGGGGGGAATGGCTTTTTAGTCATGGTGTCATAATTTGATTTAGCACTCACTTGATGATAAGGGTCACAGTGGGAGTGGGTGTTTGTTTTTTAGGTCCAAATTATTTAATTTTCTCTTTTGTATGCTTTTTACTGATTATCCCTTTTTTATTTTTTTATTTCTGTAAAAAATTGGGTAAGTGGAAAATTAATACCAGATTTTAACAAATTAAAACTATGCACATATATCTGAAACTAGCATGAAATGTATACTGAAACTGAACCGATCTGTCATTCTTGTAATCTTCTCAATAGGTTAGTATGTACAATTTTATACTTGACTCCTCAGTGAGTTATTATGTAAAATGTTGGCTCTACTGGCAAATTTGGCCGGTAAGCTGGACTGCTTTGGCCAGCTTAGCGGGGCTTCGTGGGAGTTATGTCCCTTGGCCAAACTCAAAACAAGTCGCGGAAAAAGTCACGAATCAAACGGCATACTTACCTATCATCATCCGGGTGCGTGTAGGGTGTCTATCATCGTCCTACGGTTGCGTGTAGGGCTGCTTATTGCGTGTAGGGTTGGTTGTTTGTGTAAGATAGATGAGGGGTAGGGTTAGGGTTTAGGGTTAGGTGTAGCGTTAGATGTGACAATTGTGACGCCATAGTTCCCTACAATCGCGCTCAGTCGCATGCACGCGCAAACAGTCGACGGACGGTGGATGCTGCTGACACGGATAATTCGCCACCGATTGGGGCACCAGCCACCGCGCGCTATTGCCGTCATATTTGGCACACTTCCAGTGGCGCCACTCCCACAAGCATCAGATTGTTGGTCAGTATTTCCACCTCCTACCTGAATATTTTAACATCATCTAACCCTAACTCTACCCCTAACCCTAACCCTACCCCCTAAATCTCCCCCTACCCCTAACCCTAATCATAACCCTACCCCTAACCGTACCGCTAACCCA